ATTTTTATTATAATAAATTAAAGGATGACGGGTGCAAGTAAAATAAAAAATTAATTTTCTGTATTTTTTTTTTCTATATCTTAATTAGTTAAACATGGAAAATAATATAATAATAACAAAATGAAAGGCCAAACCATACATGAATGGGAACATAGAGGAATTTTATTTCAGGTTCAGTGGATTGACCCACCAACTTGTTTTTTTCTTGTCAAATTTTTTTTTTTTTTTTTTTTTTATTTTTTTTTCGTATATCTTAATTAGTTAAACATGGAAAATAAATAATTATATAACAAAAATGAAAGGTCCAAACTCATTACTATTGAATGGGAACATAGGAGAATGTTGTATTTCAGGTCAGTGGAGTTGACCCCACCCAACTCTTCGTTTTTCTTCGTGTTCAATATTTTTTTTTTTTGTTTTGTTGTTTATTTAAAATTGTCTGATGGTCTTCCATCCATGGCTAAGTCTAAGAAGGATTAGGTGACCCGCTGTTGATAAACTTTTCTAATCTATAAGCTTTAAGTCCATTTTGACATCATTTTTTTTTTTTTTTTTTTTTGTTTGTTTATTAAATTTGGTCTATGGTCTTCCATTCCATGGCTAAGTCTTAAGAAGGATTAGGTGACCCGCTGATACTTTCTAAATCTATAAGCAAGGCCATGACATCATTGGCTGTGACATAAAGACCCCACTCACCGGCCTATCCATTTTCATTTTTCTTTATATATTATTTTTTATTTCATCGCTGTAATTTATTAATATTTTCACATTTAATTTATTTAACATGTGTTTATTTGGTTGCTTCTTGTGTAAGATCAAATCCGATGCACCAACTTGATAAATAAAATGATAATGCCACAAGGAAAACTTCTTAACGAGAAAAAATTAAGATTTCAAAAACTGAAAAAAAAAAAAAACATGCAAATTCTATTGAACTCCGAGAATTATAAATATATACATGAGTTTATAAGTGAAACGAGTGTTAAAGTCTATTTTATATAAAATCAATTGACTTATACTAAGTCACTGTTCATTTTATTATAAAATTTTGAATTATTTTATTATTATTCAATGCGAGATTCATCTCCTAATATGAATAATTATATAATTATATTTAAATTCCATTTGGTAAAATATAAAATAATGTAATGTACCGTATGCATTTTTAATATAAATAAATTTGATTACATTATTATGCTTACCAATATTTTATAATATAAAGTTAAAAACGTTTAAATTTATAAAAAAAAAAAACAACAATTTGTTCCATACTAAAACACGTAATTAATATAATTTAGTCTAATTCTCAATTTTATGAGGACAAATCCATAGTATTTGACAAGAGTCAATTTGGAAGACGAACTTCATTAGACAAAGATGTTAATTTAATAATTATTTTTCGAATTTTAGCAAGAAATAATAAGCATCATCATTTCTATATGGACCAATTACTCTCGTTAATGTCATTACTTAGATCATAATTATCATGTATATACATCAGCACTGTCTTTTCTTATTAATGCTCCCTCTGGCCTCTCCCAAAATAAAAATCATTTTTGGGTAATATATTTTATATCAACGTATAAGTCGTTTGGAGTATTTTAAAGAGTAATAAATAATATTTTTCTATGTTACTTTTATTTACATTAAATTTAATAAATGTTTTTTATAAGTAACTATTGGTTTTTGAGATAAAAGATAATTTGGTCAATTTATCTTTGGTTTTATTATAATCTAGTAGAATTAATTAATTTCTTAATTCTTGTCTAAAAATTTTAAATGACTTATATTTTGGAACAGATGAAATAATTATTAATAATATACTATCTACGTTTCATAATACTTGTCACATTTGAGAAAATGATTTATTCCAAAATACTCTATTTATTCTAAAATATAAATCATCTAAGGTTTTTGCACAGAGATTCCTGAGGATCTTCCCCCAACAGAATCAATGGATGTGTAAATAACCTTTAAAACTAAGCGAAGGCTCGCTGATTGAAGGTTAAACAGATTAATGAAATAATTACTTCTCCTAAATTATAACAAAATCAAGGGTAATTTGACCAAATTATCCTCTATATCAAACAAAGAGTTATTTGTGAAGGTAGTCATTGTATTTAATGTAAATAAGGGTATTGAAAAAATATTATTTATTACTCCTTAAAATACTCAAAAACGATTTATATTTTGGACAAAACAAACACCAAAAAACGACTTATATTTTGGAACAGAGGAAATACTTGTCACATTGTAGTTTCAAGGAGTAATAAAACTTTTTTTCTATGTTTATCTTTTATACATGATCAATAATTATTACTTTAATTGAATCGTTTTCTTAAAAAATTAGTATTAAATTAAAGGTAATATAGTCAATTTACTCAATAATTTATTGTGATTTAGGTAAATTTAATAATTTTATTAAGAGATGTAAAATTTCATATAACAAGTATTATAGAACATAGATAGTAATTAAAAACAACTTGACATTAATTAATTAATTAATCAATTGTACTACCACGTGGAAGTCATGCAACTGTAAGATCAAGATATAAGAATAAATTTTTTCTAACCACCATTATCCTAAGTCAATTGGAGACGTTAAACTTGATTAAAAAAATTAGAGCAATTAAACTTATGTGCGAACTGATCTATTTAACCAATAATATTATTTATTGTTTGATGGATGAACAAATCCCTCCTTGTTGGTACCGTGGGTTGTAACTTAATTGGCAACGTAGGTGGGAGATGCGGAAAGAGCTATCGGTTCGATTCTTACTAAACGCACGTGTATGGAGAGGTGATGAGCCTTAACTTTGACTAAGTCCCAAGCTAGATTAGGCGGTCCCTGATTTATGGGGTCCAGATATCGGTGATTTATACCAAATCCTTTCTTCTTAGGTTGAGGTGTCGAGTTCAAACATTGGGCATGAAGTCCCTTTAAACACTCGAAAGAGAGCGTTTTGCCCCCATTTGTGGGCCTGCCTGATACGAATTCGATTAATCAAGCTAGTGGGCTTCGGATACCGGACGATTAAAATCAATAAATTTTATTCTAAGAGACAATTAGTTACCGAAATTTAATATTTTTATAAAAAAGAAGGAAAATGTAGCTAGAAAAATGGTGTATGTACGGACAGAAGAAAAATAGTTAGTCATTTGAGCCAACCAAATTTGACATATTTGGTGTAGGGTAAAGCTAATAATACTTTTCATGCCCTAAAAATAAAAAATAAATTGCACCGAATACACATAGATTTAGGATAATACGAAGTCCAATGATTATTAAAGGTGAATGTATGGCATGACCGTAGACTTGACTAGGTACATGCAATGAAGAAATCAAGTAGGTTGTGACTTTCATTCTACAATTAAAAAAGTCATAAGAATGTGATTTGATTAATAGCTATATCAAGTTGAATTAAACAAGTATTTACAACTCATAATTGCATGCTTAAATCATAAGTAAAATTACCAAATTGAATGAGCCAACGGCAAAGTTTTATTCTTTTGGACAAACGAACAAAATTAACAAAAATTTAAATTTGAATTGATTACTTTCTACCAATTTCTATACTTGGTCTAAGTTGGTTTTGAAATTACATCCGTTCAGTTGATTTTGACACTTTTTGATTTTTCATAAGAATTTTAAAAAATGATTGAACCACCTTTATTCTATAAAAATAAAAATAATCGACTAAATTAACTCTTTGTAATTGAAATAGATAAAATTTAAATAGAGATATCTAGGTAAGGTAAAGTCAAAATAAAATAATTAAAATTTTTGTTGATTTTTTTGAGAGTGTCATCTAATTAAAATAAGATAAAAATATTAAAATTAACAGAATGAGGTAGTAGCTAAATAATTAACTTCTAATGTTGCCAAGTCACATGATTTTTTTTTTTTTTGGTTGAAAACTTAGTGATTAATTAGAAGATTGACCTATTTCATGAGTCATGATCTCTATTTCTACTATTGAATTAATAAATTTTTATATTTTTATTTTATCAACCACCTAAAGTTTCTATTAAAATTTTCAACAATCAAAAATAAAAAATTTAAAATTATATATAAAAAATTATTTTTATATGAAATTTAATAAAATTCACTAACTTTATGTCAAATCTTGAAAATTAAATAACAATTAACCTTTTCTTCCATGTCTTAGAACAAACAATAGTTTATTTCAAATCAACCATTTATGGTAAATAAACAGATTTGATGTCAGCAAAATTATATAAATATAAAAAGAAAGAAAGAAAGAAAAAAAAAAAAGGGAGAGGAATCCCATTTGTTCTTGCATGTAAAGAAAGAAACAAAACAAAAGAAAGGCTTTTTAAGTAAGACAATAGAATAATGAATGCATATTAACATAACGTGGAAAATGATTTCAAAACGTGACTACAAACAAAGCAGAAGACTCAATTCCCACATGCTTCTTCTATACTAATATATTGGTAGACCCCATTATGACAAAGTAGCACCCAAAATTTTTTTGAAAAGATAGATTGCTACCCAACCAAAAAAATATACATTTGGTCAACATTAAACTTCTAAATCTTCCAATCTACTAATAACTAATAAATCAATTTAGGATAACTGATTTAAAGGTTGAACTCACTCACGGAATCAATAAAAATATATATTTTTTAAATATTATTTTCACTTAATTTTTTTTTATTACAAATATCATTATTTCAATAAAAAAATATTTTTTATTGGTAATATCACAAATCTAAAAACCTTATATCTGTTTTCAATCCCAAAATAGATGTGGAGATAATAGTAAAAGTAATAATAATAAATTAAAGAGAAATAAAAAAAAATAGAAATGCATATATATGCGCATGTAACATCCATTGTTTATTGCTCTTTTGGTGGGCGCTCTTGTCTTTGACAAAAATGTTATGCCCAACCGACATGTGTCTCAACCTATCAACTCTTTTAAATTATTTTCTTTTTCTTTTTCTTCTTTTCTTTTTTTCTTGTTTTTCTCTTCACTCTCTCTATATATCCCAATCCATTTACAAGCCATTTGCAAAAATGCTCTTATCTGTCTCTCTCTTGCTCCTACACTCACTTTCCATCTGGTTTCTTCAAAACGAGTAGAGCTTTGAACTCTATATCCTTTCTTGATTTGGGTTCTTGCTATAAATATCGTTCAAGACCTGGTTTCTTGCTTAAGATTTATCAAGATTAGGGTTTTTCTTGCCACAATATTCATCAAGACAAGAGAAGGTTCTTTTTTTCTTTATCTGGGTTGTCTTGAAAATTAAGGAAGACTAGCTATGGATTATAGTTCCTCATGGGTAGACACTTCTCTAGATCTTAACATCAATCCTAGACCTATTAATGAAGAAGCTCGAGCTCAATTTCAAGAAAGATTAGGAATGTTGAAAGAAGTTCAGAACAATAATTTTAAGGAGTTGGGCAAGAAAATTTCAGTGAAAGAAGAGGTAATTAATTCAATTTCTTTAGTTATATGTTCTAAAAATGATTTTTTTTGTTTACTGGAAAATTAATATGTTTAATTAAATTTCTTCAGGCTGGAGATTTGGTGGAGGAATTGAACAGAGTGTGTGCAGAGAATAAGAAGCTGACAGAAACGCTCACAGTGATGTGTGAAAATTACAATTCTTTGAGAAATCAGTTAATGGAATATGTGAGCAAGAATCGAAGCGACAAAGAGCTTAGTCCATCAAGAAAAAGAAAATCTGAAAGTAGCAACAATAATAACGATAATAATACTGTTGTAATGAATGGGAACTCTGAAAGTAGCTCAACAGATGAAGAATCTTGCAAAAAACAAGCAAGAGAAGAAGTTATTAAAGCAAAGATTTCAAGGGTTTATGTGAGGACAGAAGCATCTGATAAAAGCCTCGTAAGTCTCTTATAATCAAATTGAACTTTAACTCAAGAGTATTAGTGCAGTGAAAGCCTAATTAAAATTTTGTTCACATTTGTTGTAGATTGTGAAAGATGGATATCAATGGAGGAAGTATGGCCAAAAGGTTACAAGAGATAATCCTTCTCCAAGAGCTTACTTCAAATGCTCTTTTGCTCCTAGCTGCCCTGTAAAAAAGAAGGTATAGATTTTCACTTTTATACATAAAATAACCTCGATCCTTCTCTTGTATTATCAGATAGACTCCCCATTACTGAGACTTTTGTTATATAATTTGCTAATGTAATGCTTCTTCTTTTTTAACTTCAGGTTCAAAGAAGCATTGAAGATCAATCAGTTTTGGTGGCAACTTATGAAGGAGAGCATAACCATCCACATCCATCACAAACGGAGGCAACATCAGGGGCAAGCTGCAGGAATCTAACCCTTGGTTCAGTACCTTGCTCGGCCTCTCTTGGCTCATCTGGACCAACCATTACTCTTGACCTCACAAAGTCCAAGCCTGAAGCAAGAAATTCAAAACAAAGAACTGAAACACCTGAAGTGAGGAAATTCTTGGTTGAACAAATGGCCTCTTCTTTGACAAAAGATCCCAATTTCACAGCAGCATTAGCAGCAGCAATTTCAGGAAGAATGTTTCAGCAGAATCAAACAGAAAAATGGTGAAGCGAACAGGAAAATAGTATCAGTTTCTATCTTAGATAAATTATTATACAGTTTTCAGGTTATTTACCAATATTGTAAGCTCTATATATTAATTAGAACATTTTGAATTTTGGGATGTACTTTGTACATAGAAAATTAGAAACAAATGGGGAAATTTATAAAGAAATGTTCTTTCCAATGCGATCCTTAGTTTACAACTGTATTGTTGTTGGAATATGATTACATGAAACTTCCAACCTCAATTTTACAATGTTCTAATTAGGGTTGATCAGTTTATGCCAATTTTGATGGGGATTACTTAGTCAATTACTTTCTTGATTTTCAAAAAATGTTCAAAATTCAAACCAATTGGGTGGATGGATATTATTACTGTTATAAAAGGAATATTGAAGTGTAGGTTTCAAATAAAACAGTAAGACACAAGTTGTTGTATCTAAGACAGGAACACTTTGGTTCACCAAATAGCTGTCCTAAATTGACTGGAAGGAGTTTAGTTGGCCAAATGACTACTTTAGATCCATCACTTGGACCACTACCTTGACCTTATGTGCTGTTGAACTTTATTTGACAGCCTGTCTCATCCAAATTTATTGGCATACTGTTTCAAATTACTATTTTTTTCCAATTTAGTTTGATTCGATTCACAATCTTATAACTAATAATTTATAATAATCAGTTAAAATTCTACAACATCTTTTATTATAAAAACTAGACACACGATTGCTGAATTATTAATTTTTTTAATATTTTGTGTTAAATTGTTGAATTTTGAATGGTTAAAGGCATTTGAGTAACGCAGGCACCTATAAGGAAGAAAAAGAGAAAGAAAAAGAAAAAGAAAAAGAAAAATTATTCATTTCACACAGCTGCGAGGAAAGTGGTTAGGATTGAGAAGACTTTTGAGTTTTGAGGATTAGAATATTATTGGGCATAGTCAAATATAACCTGCTAATTTGACTTCTTAAGATTCTTTGTGGGTTCAGTTCATAATATTTGGTCAAAAACTAGAAGGTAGACAATTTTGGATAGTTCCAAGATCTATTAAATAGCTGTCACATGTGCAAGAATATTTTTACCAAATCATGGTCTAAATACATTGATACCATAACTTGATAAATTAAGTACATGCATTCCCACATTTTGTACCAAGAATTGATTCAGTAAGTATAGTTTAAGTCCGAGAACTTTGGGATGCTTAGTCCTGAAAGAGATACCATACCATTACCAATTTAGGTGCTCTGGAAGAATTTCATTCCAAGGGGAAAAAGAGTGCTAAAAGATCAAATATGTACTGAAAGAAGTCAAAAAGCTACAAAAATGTGGTTCTTGAAGGTACAGATTCAATACATGAATTCCCCATAAAAACGTATATATAGAGGAAACGAAAACAAGGAATATTGAAAAGTATTATTCATGTAATTGATAGTGAAATTTTTGTCCTTCTTTATGAACCTAGATGGCTTTTACCTGGATCTGCATTTTGAAAGGAGTAATAATTTGAAATCTCAATCACAAAAAGAAAAAAAAAAAAGAGAGAGAAATTATTCTTAATTTGAAACCATGTTAGTTGATGAATTTTCTTTGGCCGCCTGTAGAAGAAGGCACTTTTAGTTGATGCCTCTCACTACAGCAGTAATATGCCCTAGAGGCTGTAAAGGAAATATTAACTAAAGATTATTAAAAGTTTCTTTTTCATTAATCATAAAAACTACAAAACAATTAAACAAACAATTCCAAATTACTTTCTCCAATAACATCTGCACTGATATTTTTTTTTTCACACAAAAAGAAAGCAATTTCAATTTCAATGTCAAATAAGCAGTCATGAAGGCCGCCAAGAAATGGTCTTGCAAATTATGTCGACAGATCTTTTCTGGGTCCTCTTATTTATGAGTTCATATAGATTTTTCAGCAAGAATCTTTCAACATATCCAGTTGAATGAAGAAAACATTACTTGTATATTACAGAAACGTCATAAATAAGTAATTAAAATACCAAAATGCAGAACACAGTGTTTGCAGATACTTTCAGCAGTAGTGATTAATAATTTGTACAAAAATCGTGGAGTATAGATGATAACTATTCGTAACAATTTGTACCAAGGCATGTCAATTTTGAGGAACTATAGGTCATCCATACCTCTTGGTACTCCCACAATAATTGGATACTCAGGTTCTTTCTTTTCAGCGTTGGACTTAAGACTGCCACCCTTCTCTTTCCCTTCTGTTCCGATAATACACTCCTGGAATCTGAAGCAACTGATGAGATGGTCATTTGTTAATCCAGCCACTTGCATAAATGCATATATGACTGTTGGCCCCACGCTCCGAAACCCTCTTCTTACTAGATCTTTGCTTATGACCTCTGCTTTTGAGGTCTTGACTGGAACTTGACGGGAGTATCGGAATTGGTTAACTATAGGCTTATGGTTTACAAAGTTCCAGATGTATTTGTCAAATGACCCAAACTCATCGATTACCTGCACCATTAATACTATTAAGTGAGATTAAGCTTTCTTTTTAGCAGGTAAATTAGCAGTTTGAAGATTATGGGAGTAGGTAGATATCTGACAACACAGAATTTACTCAAAATTTCCCTTGCCAAAAGACACAGAATAAAGTTTGAATAAAAGCTTTGTTGTATAAACAGTATAAATAAAAAAGGATCCAAGTCTCAACCTTGCACATTTGACGTGCATTTTCAATGATTGATCGTAGCTTTGATTCTGACAGTAATGAAGTTGCAGGACTTCCTGAGGTAGCTATCTTTTTATCATTTAATTTTGAAACAGCAGTAGGGTCAAAATCCAAAAACACCTCCCTGGTACACAAAAACATCTCTGAATCAATCCAAAATGACAATTTAATTATGGTTTAATTGTGAAACCAGCATAATGTATCCTCATCCTAAGCTTATAAGAAGCTGCATCACTTTGAAAATAATGAATACCTGAACAAATGTCGTTTGTTAAGAATGACTGGCCAAGTAAGTTCTGCCAAAGCACCTGAAAGGCATAGCAATTCAAATAGTTTCCTGCATGTTGAAAGGAATAATTAGATTGAAGAAACTAGCAGATACAGTTTCTAGTTTAAAACTGATGCGGAGAAGATTAACAAAACATTGTCCTGACGTTACATACTTGTCATCATGGACCTGTACCCCCCATTCTTCATCATGAAAAGTTGCATAGAATGGATCTGTATGAGAGAAGTGGGGAAGAAGCCTGGTTAGCTCAGAATAACAACTAATGTGAGGCATCACGTGCAAGACCTCTTCAAGGCATGAACATCTAGCCATGTTTTTTTATTATAATATGACCTCCATTAAGTTTTATGTAGCAGTGTTACTAATTTAAAATGTACTGACCAATCTATTTCTTCTCTTTCTTTTCCATAAACGTCACGTGTTACATGAGGTCATAGCAGTTTCCTATCGTTAATTTTAGGAAAGAGAGACAAGATATCAATTTTTTAACAAATACATAGATGGAAACCACCTCTCCTCCAAAAATCAGCTCACGCTTTAGGAACATGACAATACATAAGAATAGATGCCTTTAAATAACAGAATTGTAAACCACAACTTTGTCCAACTGTCAACTGCTGTTGATTATAATATCAGTTCAGTGATAGGAGAGAGTTTGTGTTGGGTTCTTCATCTTTTACAGCTATCTATATTCTTAGCAAAATAACCCACTTATTATCAATTCATCCTGTAATACATTTGGTGGTCAATTATTTCATGTAATCCAACACAAAATGATTATATCTTCAGGAGAGTTTGGGTTCTTCATTTTTTACAGCTATCTATATCATTACCAATAAAATTCCCCTCCAATTTTTTTTTTAAAAAAGTAGTTTCAAAATTTTCTAACTTATACTTTACTTTGCATTGATATTAATTTATCTGAGAGGACAAAGGATTCACATAGCCGACCCCAAGTAGTTTGGGACTAACGCTTAGTTGTTGTACCAAAAGAGCCCACTCGTTATCAATTCATCCTGTAATGTTTAGTGGTCAATTATTTCATGTAATCCGAAAGAGATTATTATATCTTCTTCTCTCCAGAAAGCCCATTAAGCATCACATGGAAAGCTTTATTACTAATATAACAAGGTTTAGTTTTAAACTTCATAATGTTATATTCACTTTGACATGAATTTGATGTACAGATTCAGGGATGTATATTAATCTTCAATTACAAGGAAAGTGATTATGCAAAGAAGAATTTGGGGAGATTAGAGTCAATAGACAATGCTAATTGAACAGATTATAAATAGACATTTCATAAACAATCGTGAACCCCCAGAGAGACAAAATGTAGGACTAGCACCAACAGTTCATCACCGAAGAAAAGACTCACTAAGCCACAATCGCTAACTAATACTAATAAGTATTGAATACTGATAGAATAGAATTGATATTGTGGGAGAAGACTTCCACTGAATCAGTCAACTGCAGATTATATAACTTTTCACAGAAAAGAACAGCCACATCATATGCCAGTTCATCCTAGAGAACAACAACAAAAGATTGACAAGGTTTTCCCATGAATGGTCAATTGTTCCTCTTCCAGATAGAAATTTCTTTGATGAAACCAATTTGGAAATTGACAAAGATGCATACTACTAGCTGAACCAAATAACTAATCTTACAAGTTTATCAGTTCTGCTCCAGGACAAGAACTCTATCTGGCTCATTGCTTCATAAGAAGTGTTAAGTCATGAATTAATGGCCTCTTTTGTCTTTGGAATGTTTCTCCTATAATAGTATTACTAACTAATATAGGAATAATTTGCTATATAAGATCAATTTAAGTCAATTCATCAAGAAGAAAGGAAGCATTTATACTAAAAATTATATTCATGTTATATATAATATAACAATTATCCACTTAACAGTTACTTGATTTGATTGACCCTAAAAAAATTAAACTTTATCGAGAATGCAGATTTTGATTTCTCCTTGTTCCTTCAATCTTCATCAATTAGCATTTGAGCAGGTTAAATGATGCCCTTTTATTGTGATTATTAGATCAAAGTACACACTTTTCACCATAAAAATTTTCCCAATTATTCAACATTCTTAAATCACAAGAATATATATAGAGAGTAAAAAATCAGGTGAATAGATTCCCTAATAAAAGAACTTAGCAGCTTACCAGTATTGGGCGTAACCCAACCGCACCTTTTCTTACTTTCTTGTAAATCAGTTGTATCCACTAGTCCACTATTCCCGTCAACCACATTTCCACTCTCCGCCGCCTCACTATCACTAACAATACCGGTTTTCTCCTCCTTGTCAAATTTCACCTCACACTGCTTCCTCCTAACAACTCCATTCTTCCGCGCCACCGCCGCCATTTTCCCACTTGACCATGACCGCGAGGACAGTGAGGAAGAAGATGACGATGCCCGGCTGTGCGACGAATCCGTCGACGCGTCCGACGAGCACGACCCATTCATTGATTTTTGGCGTAAAACAGCCGACGCCACTTTCCCATTCTTCTTGTCCTTGGACTCGATTCCTTGCTGCTGCGGTTTTTCGGCTTTCTTCACGGGTTTTTGCAGCACCTTGTTTTCCGGTTCGATGTTCATCGACCGGACTCGCGGTGGCCCCGACATTGCCCGGTACAGAGAAGTCCTTGCTTCCCAGAAATACCCTTGGTAATGCTTCGAATTTACTGTTCAGGTTTGGAAATTTGTTTATACCAAGAATGGATATGGGATGGTTGCACTGTTTAAGATAAACAGATTTTGGAGCTGATACTTATTTTACAGGGAGAGAGAGTGAGGTGGTGTTTGGAGAGGGAGAAAATTTGGGAAAGTGGAGAGAAAATAAGTTATGGTGATGGGAAATTCATTGAGTGGACTTTCTGCGTTGAGAAAGAAACGAATCAAATTAAAAAAGAGATAGATTACCAATGAAAATCCGCCACGTAGGATGAGAGCTGGCATTAGCCAAAAGGCTTTCTTGTCCGAGAATGTTCGGTTCCGAAATCGAGATCCAAGCAAGGAATGGAGCATGAAGCGGGTTCTCGTATTTGCAGATGGTTCAAAATTTAACTATTACTAGCTACTTAGCTATTTGTTAAACATCGAAATCGAAACCTTCACTCCTCGTCCTAAATGAAAAGATTGATTAGATCACATCTATAGACTATTTTTAGAATATTTATTTATGAGATTGATGGTAATGAAAATAAATAAATAAAAACTTAAAAGAGATTTTAATTAGATATATATGATACTATGCAAAAGAAAATGTTAATATGGACATTTTATCATAATTTACTGAAAAAATTAGCAGAATAACTATTTAATTAAACACGATAAAATGAAGGAACTGTTTAATTAAGTTTCAAAAGCTATGTTTTGATTTGCGAATTTCATTAAATTATAGAAACTAAACAGTAATTCACTTGAAAACAATAGCAAAAGTGAACAGTTTAATGATTTTGAAAAAGACTTGCTTACCTTTACCTGGTTAATGGATTCGCACCATACACCAAATAAATCAAAAACAATTTTTTTAGCTCAAGTAAAGTATTTTTAAACATTTATTCAGAAAATAAATAAAACAATAATAATATTTTAAAAAATCCTTAGGTGAACTCACACACAGGGTGTAGATAACTCTCATGCAATGATTTTACTATTTATCCCTGTCAACTGCCAAGAAGTCATTACTCATTATCTAACAAGACATTTAGTCTAGTTATTATAATAATTTAGGGAAAAAAAAAAACAAAAGAATCCAAAAAGAAAAGGTATGAAGTTGGCCCACTTATCCAAACAGCTTCCATCCATTCAAATCACCAGCTTCCACAGCTTCTTGATCAAACAACCATACCAAGAAGACCATCCAGAACTAATAACACACTCACTCATGGCTTCAACTTCTCTAATACCCAAAAGCATATCTCCTTTTCTCACAAGCCCATCTTCGTCACTTCCCTCAACTCAATTTTCCAAACCATCATTCTTTCAATCTCCATGCACCAGAAAACCAAGCACACTCACCTGTGCAAAGAAAAAGAACCCATGGCTTGACCCTTTTGATGATGGAGAGGACCCTGATATGGAATATGGCTCATTATTTGCAGATGGCAAGCAAGAAGAAGACCCTAGACCACCTGACAACCCCAACAACCCATATGGCTTCCTCAAGTTCCCAATGGGTTACAATGTAGAAATTGCTTCTTTGGCATTAAAAGTTAGAGGTGATGTCAGGAGATGCTGTTGTGTGATTTCTGGTGGTGTTTATGAGAACTTGCTCTTCTTTCCTGCCATTCAGTTGATCAAGGACAGGTATATTTACAACCGTCTGATGAAAATATTAATATATCCACTCTCATCACAAGATTAAAGAATCGTTTTCCTAGCTATAAGATACTTGCTCTATTGTTCTTTAAGGTACCCTGGAGTTCAAATAGATGTGATAGCATCAGCTAGAGGGAAACAAACCTATGAGATGAACAAGAATGTGAGATGGGCTAACGTTTATGACCCTGATGATGATTTCCCTGAGCCAGCAGAATATACTGACATGCTCGGAGTTCTTAAGGTTGGTGGGTTTTTAAAATTATAATATTCTCTCAAGTGAAACTTCAAGGGTCAGAGGAGGTCCTTCTCAGCAAATTCATACTAGACATTACAGAGGATAATCCTATTACACCGAATCCAAAATCCCAACTAGAATCTGCTTCCTTTCTGCTTGCAGAATAGGTACTACGACATGGTCTTATCAACCAAACTGGCAGGGCTTGGCCACGCAGCATTCCTGTTTATGACATCAGCTCGGGATCGAGTTAGCTACGTTTACCCTAATGTAAATGCAGCAGGAGCAGGACTTCTCCTATCAGAAACATTTACTCCAGATAGTACCAATCTCTCAGAAGGTGGATATTACATGTGAGTTTCTAAGACATTGCAAAATTCTCTCTAGAGTGTTTTAGCATATAGAAGCTTTCATTTGGGCAAATGCTTGATTTAGGTATCATCAGATGGTTGATTGGTTAGGAAGACCTTTCCGAAATGTGCCGAGGCAGCCAGTGCCTCCACTAAGAGTTTCAATTTCAAGGAAGCTGAAAGAGTTTGTAGAAGCAAAATACAGAGTTGCAGGTGCTGAGAAAGGAAAATATATTGTAATTCATGGAATTGAATCAGATTCAAAGGCCTCAATGCAGTCTAGGGGAGATACCGATAGTTTGCTGCCTCTTGAAGTATGGGCTGAAATAGCTGAGACTGTAAGGTAGGTATCTTATTAATTTTATTCCTAACACATTTAGAAGTTATTTCTACGGGAATTGATGGTTACATATCCTGCAAGCAGGGGATTTAAGCCAGTATTTGTCATCCCACATGAGAAAGAAAGGGAAAATGTTGAGGAAATTGTTGGAGAAGACACCAGTATCGTCTTCATCACTACTCCTGGACAGGTATGTCTCCCTCAATGTAAATCCTATCAATATATATGACCTGGCAAATGTAATATATCATTAGATAATACATCTTCCAACAAGAATGTTCTTATTCAGTTGGCAGCTCTCATCAATGACTCAGCTGGAGTAATAGCTACAAATACAGCAGCAATCCAACTTGCAAATGCACGAGAAAAACCTAGGTAAGTTCTTTGATCATAATAATTCATTTAAATTAATTGACTAGTATATGCACCTCCTTTTCCTTTATAGTCTCCCCATACCAAACCACTACTTGATCATCATACAGAGCTCCGACTGTGTGTGTGTGTGTGTTTTCCCCTGAAAATTATGTATTATGCAGTAGAAATATATGGTGTCAACAACACCCAGAATACAGAATACTATCTGAGAGTATATTACATAGAATTCGAAGAGGTGAACCCAATTTGTATTTGTGGTCCCACTTTTGCAGCATTGCGTTGTTTTCATCTGAAGAGAAAGGCAAACTATTTATTCCCAATGCAGACGAGAAGAAATGCAGTATTGTCTCATCTAAGACTGGTAAACTAAAAGACATTGATGTTGAAGACATAAAACAAGCAATGCAAATTTTAGATGCATCCCTGGCTCTGGCATAGAAGAAAATGAGACTAAATGTTTCAAAATTACAGATTCTGATTTCATGTTTCTTGTTTTCCTCTTTCTTTCATTCTTTTTGCTTCCCTTCTCTTGTCATCTCAATCCTTTTCCATTTGTACATGGAAGTCCAAAGTGTTGAAAAATCACATGAATATATAAAATGCGATCATGATAATTTGTAAAATAGAATTCAGAGAATATGGAAATGAATATAATTGCTTATGCTTGTCATGACAATTAGGTAACTGCAAGAAAAAAGAAAGGAGCAACCTTCTCAGTGAATTTCAATGAGAACAATGAGCTACTAGCATTGCAAATAATCATATAAATTGGAATACAACAGAAAAATGTCCAAAGGTGTTATTTAACTAGATAAAAGTCAGTAAATCAACCTTTAAATTATCTGCCTATTAACTTCTTCAAGATGATTGATTAGCGAACTGCAACTATTGCAATCAAGCAAGTAGCTTTGCACGAGTATCCGGATCCTCTTTTGATTCTACATGGATCATCAAAATGTATCCAAGAGTCCATAAAAGAATGTATTGAAAGGGAACCCAAGATACACATGCAAGAAGGCTCAAAATGCTTCCTATGTATTGAGGATCCCTTATAAATCCAAATGGAAATCCAGTCACCCAAGGGATGTCCTTTCCAAAGCGTACGCCATAGTAAGTACCCGATTCACCAAGCAATTGGTATACCCTGCATTTTCCAAGTTTTAATAAGACTACACCATACAGATAGAAGCTGCATAGTTCCACAATATGCTATGAAAGTTCTATTTGGAACAAAAGCAGCAAAGGCATTTTAAAAAAATCATCAGAATGGTCCTGTGTAATTAAAGATGGTTTGATACTCCACTTATACCCAAAATAAAAAGAAATTACAGTTACCGAAAAGAGATTCACTGCAAAATGATAAAACTAACAATTTTCGCTTCATCAAAGCAATAACATTACACGTCTGTATAAACATGTCGAATATAACAGCTGTTAACGCTGCATGATTCATGTGTATTTTGAATTGCACCAGACGTTTCCTTTAAAAAGAAGAAACAAAAAAAGAATGGTTTGATCACAATTATCACCGAGAAATAGACAAGAAAGTCTGCTTGGGCTTACTTAAGTAGCTTCCTCAGGGCAATGCCAATCACTGAATGCAATTAGACAGATATTGCAAAATATTGGGTTGCTCTATCTTATCAACTGCAGTTTACCGTTCACAATCCAGTGTCAGGACACATATCAAAGAAGGAAATGTCTTAATAACAATGTGAGAAGGAGAAACATTTGATTCAGTTAGTTTATTTTTACTGGAATTTCCAAAACTCAAATCTGACACTTCCTTTGCTCTTTTAGCTTCTACACAGCCAACTTTGGCACAAACTTCTTCTTCTATCAAACTTTGCATTTATACTTCAATTTTTGCACATGTAAAAGGATATGGGAGTAATTTGCTGAGTACAGAGAAATGCACATTTTAAAATAGATGGGCCATTAATAAAATATAAACCTATATTTCATTTTGTTTATCTATCTTTAAAGACCATCATATCACAGTCAAACAGTATTCTCCCGAAGAGTATTTTATCAGCATGAATAATTGAAATTAGAAGGCAAGCACACCTGTATATCCAATAAATAAAATTCAAAATCCTGAAAGATGCTATTTCTAAATTCTATACATAATAATAAATGCGTTAATGACTAACCTGAAGTTGAGAAACTGGCCAAAACCAAAAAGGGGCCAAAAGTAAAGAGGGGGAGGCCAGGTGAAGGAGGAAACTGAATAGAGAGCAATGAACTGCAGCATTTTGATGAAATGGCTGACAAAGGCCATAACTTTACATGGGTCACGCCCTTTCCCACACAGATTTACCCATGACTGTGGTTTTTTCCATACCCAGCAGTAGTACGGGAATTGAAGAGTCACAAGTATTGCTGCGAAAAAACCCATTTCCTAGACAATGAACGTAGTTAGAACATTGGAGCGGTGGGAATTGGACTCGCGGTGGCCGGTTTGACTGCTGAGCTGCCATTCTCTGACGCTGAGGCAACCATTAGTAGGTTAGCGGTTGCAAGCTAGCCTTGATGGGTTGGGCCATAAGGTTTTAGGCTTAATCATGTTTTCAACTTCAATGGTAAATTTTGAAGCCCAAATCATGGCCTTACCCTACTATCATTATTATCGTTTCTTTTCTTTTTTTTTTTTTTTTTTTTCATTTCCTAGACAATGAACGTAGTTAGAACATTGGGGATGCGGGTGGGAATTGGACTTCGCGGTGGCCGGTTTGATCTGCTGAGCTGCCATTTCTCTGACGCCTGAGGCAACCAATTAGTATGGTTAGCGGTTGCAAGCTAGGCCTTGATGGTTGGGCCCATAAAGGTTTTAGGCTTAATCATGTTTTCAACTTCAATGGTATAATTTGAAAGGCCCAAATCATGGCCTTACCCTACTATCATTATTATCGTTTCTTTTCTTTTTTTTTTTTTTTTTTTTTAAATTATCTAGGCACATTTTTTTTTTTTTTTTTTTTAAATTATCTAGGCACAGCGGATTAATCTGGATTCGGATTCTGCAGAAAGCCCATTATAGGAGCGATCCTCCTAATTCAGCTTATTCCATTTAAAATGCTAAAAACATTGCTTAAAAGATCCAGCGTCTCATCCCACTGAATCAACTAGTAGTTGGTTTTCTTTTCTTTTCTTTTTTTTTTTTTTTACATGGAGAACTAATATCTATCTATCCGAAAATGTAAAAATTGAAACTTAAATCTCCTCATATAAAGCCACATCAGAATAAATTAAATGCAATTAGTTTAGTTTCGATTTTTGATTTAGTTTTAAGTTTGGTTTATATTTTTAATGGATTACTTTCTAATTTGTAGACATTGAATGTTAATAATAGGATTAGTTATCAATTTATTTTAGATATTAATGAGTTTAATAATGTCATTAATATAACTATTCTTAAAATAAAGAAACTTCTCAATTTTTTTACTAATTAATAATATTATGAATAGTAATAATGTCATTAATACAATTATTCTTATTCTTTTTGAGTTTTAAGGGAGAGAATGCTATGCAATTACTATATATACAAGGTAGACTATTCGTATTCAAACCGTAAAAATTCATCTTATTAACAGCAACTATTCTTATCTTAAAATGCTTAAACTCTTCAATTTTTTTGAATAATTAATAATTTGGTTAGGGTATGTAAAACTATTTGGCTTTTTATTTTTAGTTTTGTTACCATGTATAACTAACCAAATTTATTTTAAGTCTAAAATAGCTAATTTGACTTGAAATAATTGAATTCAAGCCGATTTAATATGATTTAAATCGGTGATTATATCATTTGGTTTCAGATTTGGATATTATAAAAATATATTCGAATGAACCGAAATTGAGCTAATTCGATTTGATTAACCGAATTCTGACTCTTGGAATCAAGCAAATATTGTATAAAGGAAAAACTGCAAACGGTCATATTTGAAACACAAACAAATATAATAAGAGGTTTTGTTATATTTTTATAAATTTTTCTAATCCATAAACTAATATTAATTTCATAATATAAAAAGTTAGGGATTTTTTCTTATCATTTTTATTTTTGATTTTTGATTTATATTGTCCGGTGCAATAAGTTTATATGCTATCATTTCAAAAAAAAAAGAGTTTATATGCTAAACAACGAGTTAATGCAATATTCAAAAATTACATCTATAATTTTTTTTTAATTGTCGTAACATCTTATTTTACATTTTAAAGGACCAAATAACAGATATGAGTATAGATTAATAATAATTTTTTATTTCACAATGGAAAATAGAAATTTAAATTTTGATTTTGCCATTTGCTAGAAGAATGCTACCACTGAAAATAATGCTTCCACTCCTCAAATATATTTTGTGGCTACATCTATAAGATAAGATTGAAAAAAAATATATATGAGAAAGAAAATTTATTAAAATTGTACAAGTACACATTTTTTTTTGAAAAACAAAATGAGCCAATTGGTTTTTCCAATAAAATAAAATAAACTAAGTTTTATAAGCAGAAAGAAAGGCAAAAACAGGTACATGCATATGCATATCCTCTCGCCAGTTGCACAATGTTGATTACAAATATGTAAACAGACACGTGTAATCGTGTCCTGAGAACCCCTCTCTATATAAAATTTAATGAGGAAAGCTCTAAAGGAGAATCTTTTCTTATGTTTCTGTAGTGTTTTTTTAATATATATAAGTTGTTTTTTTTAATATCATATATATATATATATAGTAAGTATTATCTCATTTATATTTTTAAAGGATATATATATATATATATATATATTATTCTCATTTGAAATATTTTTTAAAGGGCACTGCATCAATTCCCTATCTATACATAATTATTTGTTCTTAGTTGATTTATTTAAACAACTCTCCACCCAACTAGAACAAACCTTCATCCTCATTCCTAGTCTTTTTATATGTAATATGCACTATTTCATTCTAGTTGTTCTTTTCTTTTGTGTCATTCAGATATTTTTTATTCTCATTTGAAATATCTTTGGTTTGGTCAAGATCTCATATCTTAAAATACAATTTGCTAATTGCAATCCTTAAATTAATTACTATCACTACATAGTTAATTATGCTGCTATTAAAATTAAATTTTCTCTTCAAACATAGAAGTCTTGAATCTTGAACTAACAAGCCTAGTCAGAGTAGTCAGATTAGTCATTAAAATTAAAATTAAACTCCATGGAACCCATCTCTTTGCTTCTAAAAGCGAGTAGCGATTAATCAGATTTATGGACCGTTAAAATAGGCACGGCGTTTAGATAACTCGTGCAATGCTAAGTAAAAAAAAATGAAAGGATGAGCCATAAAAAAATAGTAAAATAATATTGATTAAATCACATGTGAAGAAAGATTGGTTTCTTTATAGATATGATTTAGATTCATTTGAGATTTAAGTGGACAATAGGGATGAGAATGAAGCCCCAAGACTATATCCTGAAAAAAAATTACCTTTATAGCCATCACCATAGAATTGGTTAAAAGACAAATCAGAAGAAATCTAAAAAGTTGAATGCAAAGAAAGAAAGGGTATAATGGAATCATATTTGTTGATGATATATCTACACAATATGCATGCATTTTTACTACAAAACAAGAATATTCCTTCGGACTTATTATTCTTATCTCTTTCTAACTTAATTTTCAGGAATCTTGAACCATATTTTGCAAATGGATTGGCTAATTTAACTTAATTAAGTAGACAATTAATCAAGATTATAAAAAGAAAAATTAGTGGTTTAATTATTGCTAATTAATTATTAACTGCATGTTCTACTAACAACTTCTGCATTGTTTTCTTGGCTTAAGCTCTAGAAATGAAAAAGAAACTATTATTATTAATTTTAATCTTAAAAAAGTAATTTTACATAGATGAAAAAAATAAAAAAAAAAAATCAATAAACTAAAATATAAGTAGAACTATAATATTATTACAGATATAATTCTGGATATGGAGCCTTAGGTCTCTATTTCTCTATTTATTCAGACAAGATAAGAAAAAACTTTATATCTGTTTGTATAGACTATGAATTATAATCCCCGACAAGTACTGAATAAAATTCAAGATTGTAAACATGTCACAACAATGTGAGGCTAACTACGTGATTCTTTGTATATAATCTTAAAATTTAATAATTGATAAATTTGTTTTTATATGATATTGAGCTTATAATAATTAAATTTTATTATATTAAACTCAAAATTTTAACGAAAATCCAAAAAAAAAAAAAAAAATGGAGTGCTGTATAAATAAGTTGAGTTTTATTTATATTATACTCAAAATTTTATACGAAAATACAAAAAAAAAAAAAAAGAAAAGATAAAAAAAAAAAAAAAAAGAAAGATAATTATACTTCTGAAAAGAAAAGTAGCATTTATTATTAAGCTTGCAAAATTTTGAATGGAAACAATTATTGGTCTAGGGTATGGAAATTTTTGTTGTGACAATTTTCAGAAATCTATAAGATAAAGACAACAGAGGTAAGGTTGTGTAGAGGTTGCTAGAATTTCAGAATAATTATGATTTAAATTTAGAAATAATTGACCATTCCTTGCATCATCATAAAAGGGTTTGTCCTGTAGAATAATTTTTCTGTATGGAACCTTCCAGCTTCAATCTTAGCAATCTAACGCGTGTCCTCCATCATACAGTAAGCTACTATATACCTTTCCAAGAACACTATCACTTGGTTCTTTTTTTTTTTTTTTGTCTTTTTTTTTTTAATTAAACAATAAAACTCAAAGACATGCTATCGTTAATTTTTACTCTTAATATATAATATTCGAATTAAGAAAGATTATAAAAAGAAGAAAATTGACTTTTTTTTTTGCCCATTTGTTTTTTCTTTTTTTTTAAAATAAATTTTAGCCGACACGGGGGTCGTGGATTCGGGATTTGTTATGTCTTTGTTCTTTTTTTTTTTTTTTTAATTAAACAATAAAACTCACAATGCTATCTAATTTTACTTCTAAAAATGAATTCGAATTAAAAAGATTATAAAAAGAAGAAAATTTGACTTTTTTTTCCTTTTTTTTTTTTTTTATTTTAGCCGACACGTGTTTAAACTCGCCTCCATTTAACTGTCCACGTAATTCAACTATTTTTCATTCATTTTGAAGGATACAAGAGCTAACTCTCATAATTTGTAGTTCCGCTCTGAGCAGGGCGGTCAAATAAAATTCTATTTTCTAATTCAAAGTTAAGAGAAAATGTGAATACCACATCAAAGTGACAAGATTCGAACCTATATTTTTTGTATCCAAAACATATGTGCTGACCAAACTGTGCTACACCTCTTACCACCCCCTCCTCAAAGCACATAGATCAACTTGATCGATGAACACTTGAACCGAAATCGTCTATCCTTTTAGGCACATGAATGCAAGAACCAATCCGAGTAATCAAATTTTTTTTTTTTATTTTAGAAAAATCTACCTCTGGCAAGATATGGTGATGCCAAAAAGCCGCATAATACATAAATGCTAATATTTTTTTCTTTTTTACTTCCTCTTTCATTTTATTGAGAAGAGTTTCCTTATAATTTTCTTGGGTGTTCTTTATTATTGAGCTATCATTTTTTTTTTTAATATGTAAAAAGGAAAAAAAATATTTAATTAAGTTAAAAGAAAGATGGGAAGCATCATATCCACAAGATACATTCACATGTTCACCAAAAAACGTGGTGGTAAGACATGATTCTCACTACCTTCACCAATAATTGGTCAAAGTAGAAAGACTACTAACAATTCTTTTCTTCCCTATTGGGACACAGATTTTGCTTCTCATAGCAATGCCTCACTTGGACCTATCTATCTTCGTTTATCCATTCAACCCCATTTTCAACAAACAAACTTTAATCATAATTATCATGATTTCAATATGACTTTTCCTTCAATCATCCTAATATTTTCCCGCCCTTTCCGGGAAAATTTTTTTTGATGCATGTATGTCACCAAATCTTGCTAGTATTGTAGAGAATATAATACCCTTATCATTGTTAATTATCACTAATTAATCATCATTATCATCGTACAGTCATCAGTTTCAGCTTATGATATTGCACATGACAAAGACCAAGTACCTTATGAAGCAATAATTGGAACCATATCTAATACTATAATCATTTAATTAAACTATATAATAAATATATGCATCTTGCGGCTGCATAGAAAGTCATGGATGGAATGTGATTTAGTATTAATTATAAGATATATACATATATATATTCAAAATTTAACAAATACCTATAAAAGAAAATTCCACCAAAACCGGTTAAGCTGCCACGTCGGCATTCCCACTACCAAAAATCCACATATCTGTACATATATAATCATCAATGTACAATCGAACATAACACATTTTCATTCTCGAGCCTGTCCTACTCTACTTGCTAACTATGTCACTGAGAGTAGCAGCTGAGAACTTCCCTACATTTCCGGTGGCGGGAGAGGCCGTAGCGGAGAATTTATTGGTGGTGAGAGAATATGATGAAGAGAGAGATAAGGCAGCAACAGAAAGAATGGAGAAAAGATGTGAAATTGGACAACGAGGAAAACCTTCGCTTGTCACTGATCTTTTAGGCGATCCAATTTGTCGTATTCGTAATTTTTCGTCTCATGTTATGTTGGTAATTCGTCAATTCCACAGTAGTTAAACACTTGATTTTGATTACAGTAACTAATGAGACTTGAATTTTATGTATAAAAATACTCTTCTTTTCTTAATATATGTGAAATTGCAGGTTGCAGAATATGGAGAAGAAAGAGAGATGGTAGGAGTTATAAGAGCTTGTGTTAAAATTGTGACGACAGGGAACTCATTATTAGCTAATTATGTAAAAGTGGCTTACATTTTGGGATTACGAGTCTCTCCAACTCACAGGTTTCAACAACTTTTTTTTTTTTTTTTTTTTTTTTTTATTCAGCTAATTAAGTAGAGTGGGCTTTACTTTTGGGATTTACGAGTCTTCTCCAACTCACAGGTTTTTCAACATACTTTTTTTTTTTTTTTTTTTTTTTTTTTTTTTTTTTTTTTTTTTTTTCTTTCTAAACCCTTATTTTCTTCTATAACACATTTATGGTAACTATATATATATTTATATTATAAGACAAATACTCGATTTTAGAAATAATGACTTTTATTATCCGATTATTTATTCTTTTGTTACAAATTTTAATTACTTTCACTAATTAAGAGTGCACAAAATGCTTCATGACAAGAATGACCTCATCACATAAGAGTATTTTCAGTTTCATTTCTTGAATGTCTAATTAGTTACGGATCAATTCCATTTCTTGCTTATTGTTTTATTTATTTTAGGTAGCAGTGGTCCCTTATACATAAATATATGCATTTTGATGTGTGCTTTTGTGGGTTCTAATGAAACCATTCCCACCCCACAAAAAAAATAAAATAAAACGATTAGATTCGGGCATAAAGAGAAACTATTTGTTCCTCGTATCAGGGAATTAAGGCAAGTAATGCAAATGCAAGCTAGCCTGTCATTGACACATGTACCCAATCTTAATATATATATTAGTATTAACTAAAAAGCTTAGACAACATGTCTCATTCTCCTCTTCTTTTCAACTTTGCTACTTATTTCACTTCACTATATATGGTCTTCCAATTTCTTCCATTATTTTTTATATTTTAATTTTTAATTATTATTTAGATTAATAGTCCACTTATTAAGTTACAAGTGTTTATCTTATAATAATATAAAAGAACATATGTTTAAGTTTTACTAATCTCTTTTTTAAATTTTTTTAAAATTTCTTATCCAATTAGGCTTAATTATTTATGTTATATACTTCCTTTTTAGAAAGACAAAGATTAAAAAAAAAAAAAAAAAAAAAAAAAAAAAAAAAAAAAAAAAATTAATTTATGTTATATACTTCTTTTTTAGAAAGACCAAAGATTATAAAAAAGAAAAAAAAAAAAAAAAAAAAAAAAAAAAAAAAAGATCTCAACCTTCTAGAACTATCTCCTAGATTCTAGGCATATGTCACTTAACTGTTCGTAGTGCCCTATTCCTCTCTGGCTTGTCTATTTATAAAAAGCAAAAGCCGTCCTAGAGGTGAATCATGATCCTAAGTATTGTGCATTTGTGTTTATAAGTTCCCAAAAAATTCCTCTTTAATTAATTTTATTAAGAAAATGTTCCTTCTATTTAAAAAAAAAAAAAAAAAAAAAAAAAAAAAAAAAAAAAAAGATCTCCCTCTAGACTATCTCCTAGATTCTAGCATATGCCACTAACTTTCTAGTGCCCTATTCCTTCGGCTTGTCTATTATAATTAAGCAAAAGCCTTTCCTAGATGTGATCATGATCTAAGTATTTGCATTTTTTATAATTCCCAAAAAATCCTCTTTAATTATTTTATATTAGAAAATGTTCCTCTATTTTTTTTTAATTAATTACCCTCATTTTGCTAATGCAACAGTTTTTCTTTTCTAATACAGGAGGCTTGGCATTGGCACCAAATTAGTTGACAAAATAGAAGAATGGTGCAAGAAAAATGGGGTGGAGTATTCATACATCGCCACAGATTGCACAAATCAACCTTCAATCAATTTATTCACTAAAAGATGCTCTTACACAAAATTCCGTTCCCTTTCGATGTTGGTGCAACCAGTTCATGCTCATTACAAATCATTAAACTCGAATAATATCGCGATCGTCCGATTTACTTCAAAGCTGGCAGAATCAATTTATCGTAGAGTATTTTCCAAAGCAGAATTTTTTCCTAGAGATATTGACACAATTTTGTCTAGCAGGTTAAATTTGGGCACGTTCATGGCGATGCCGAAAAAATACCTCCCTAAATGGGACCCTAAAACAGGGATTTTACCCTCAAATTTTGCTATAATAAGTATATGGAACACTAAAGAAGTGTTCAAATTGCAAGTGAAGGGAGTGTCTAAATTGACATGTGCTTGTTGTAAGGGTTCTAGGTTGTTAGATTCTTGGATGCCATGGCTAAGGTTGCCTTCCTTTCCTGATGTGTTTAGAAAATTTGGAGTTTATTTCTTGTATGGGTTGCACATGGAAGGTAAGGGTGCATCGCGGCTATTAAAAGCTCTATGTGCCTTCGCTCATAATATGGCTAGAGATGATGATGGGTGTGGGGCCCTAGTGGCTGAAGCGGGCCAGTTGGACCCAGTGAGAGATGTGATCCCACATTGGAGGAAGTTTTCATGGGCTGAAGATCTGTGGTGCATCAAGAAGCTTACTGATGAGAAGATAAATGTTGATGAAAGTTGTAGATCGTACGATTGGATGAAATCTAGGCCATCTTCTTCAGTTATTTTTGTGGACCCACGTGATTTTTGATTAATGTAGTGTGACACGATCAGTGCTCATTTGCTAATCTTATACTTGAAAAGGAAAAAAAAAAATTTTTGTTAATAGCCAATTTTACACACAATTTCTTGAGATGTTATTCATCTTATGCGACGGAAATCTTACAAAAAGTAAAAAATACATTTAATTATATTATATGATATTACGATCATATAAAATTTATATTTTTTTCAAAACCAATTATTTTAAATTTTGTTATAATTAATTTTCATCAATATTGATTTTTTTATAAAAAACATAAGAATTATCTTTCTTGAGAAAATGAAAATAGAATCCCATAAGAACGATTTGAGTTTTAAACTAGTCTTAAATCTCAATAGATTTGAATCAGAATTCATCTTTAATTAGTTTTAAATCAATGCATATTAATTATACGATTCTCTACACATTAAAATAAATATATCAAAATATAATTATAAAATTCCTTTTCTAAACGTATATTCCATTTCAAATTAAATTGAAACAATAATATAATAAAAAAAAAGATGATTAAAGATTAGAATTTTATTATTCCTTTTTCCCTCTTTCCCTTTAAAAAACCATGAATAATGGAGAAGGGAAAAAAAAAAAAAGTTACAGACACCTTTAATCTAAGAAATGATGTGATACAATGTTTATGAACATTCCACCGTCATCACACCATATATGTAACTTGTTATTGGTCCCCTCCCATCCCACCATTCACATTCAAAAGAAAAAAGCCTTTTAACCCTTTCGGCTAAAAGGTTAAAAAAATAAATAAAATAAAAAAAATCCACCAACTAAAATAGCATAAAGGCAATGTGTAGTACAAACGTAGAATACTAAAATAGAGTCATTAGCCATGTGTCGGGTATCAACTTTAGTCCCACTACCATTCCCCCGCCTAACGTGTGTCGTTTTATTTTTATTTTTATTAATATATTTTTGTGTATAACTCTAACCTTACATGTGTCAGATCCCTAGGCCCCTGGCCTTTTTCTTTTCCTGAAAAATGAATGTTAAATTTTTGTTAACTCTTTTTTAAAGGAGTTAATAAAGTATTATTGCTTGATATTAGGAAAAAAAACAGGAAGTTTTTCATTTTCTTTATTTTATAATAAGAATATCATCATGCTAACCTAGGTGTGTAATGAAAGTTCTAAGATTATTCTTTTTCTAATTAATTTTGGAGCAGACCTGACCTAATAATTTTATTGTATTGACACTTCAATAAGAGCAGAATTAGACCCTAACTTTAGGTGTCCAAAAATAAAATAAAATTTTTTGGATGTTAATATTTATATCGTAGAAATTATAAATAAAATTCATGTGATAAAAAATTTGTGTTAACGAAAGTTTGCAGAGACCCGACCCTATATACACCGTCACATTTCAGAAATAACCATGTGAAATAAAATATAAAAGTAACTATGTCATTTGCTGAAATAAAATATAAAAATACTGTATCATAATTAGACACCACAAAATTATTTCATTTTGTTCAGAAACATAATTATTATTAAAATATGGGCAAACATAGAGTTTAAGGGACCAAAAAAAAAAAAAAAAAAAAAAAAAAAAAAAAAAAAAAAAAAAAAAAGGAAAAAAATTCAAGTTTCAAATTTATGTATTAGGCCCTTTATCGAGCTTTCAATGGATAAAGAATTATATATTCTAAACCCACTTGACACCAATTGGGTAGAAAAAAAAAAAAAAAAAAAAAAAAAAAAAAAAAAAGGAAAAAAATTCAAGTTCAAATTTATGTATTAGGCCTTTATCAGCTTCAATGGATAAAGGAAATTATATCTAAACCCACTTGACACCAATTGGTAGCCGATCAGTCATACTAGATTTGCTCGCTATTTTAAATTTTGGGTCTCATAATTTTGTCTTCTGTGATGAAATGCATTTCCATATATAGCCTTACATAGCTCTAGTGAACCACTACGACAGTTTCAGGGAGTCAATACATTAAAGAGCCACATACAGTGTCTTTCTATATATAGTTTCGACAACAGAAAGTTGATAGCCTATATTACATGCCATTAACGCCAACCATAATGACTATCCAGTAATGCTTCAATCACTACCTGCTGTTTATGGATAGGGTGACTTTCCATGCAAAAACATGTTTAATTATAATAGTTAGCGACCTAAGCAAGTAGGTATCACATGGTAGAAGCTTTTGCAAAGCTTGAGAATTTGGAAAACTCATCTTGTAAAAGAGCTTGTGGATTACCTTGCTCAATCTACACAAGCAGACAAACAGTGTTAGTTCTTCAAGCTATTTGCAATAGTCGAGTAGTACCGATAATCTCAAACAACAATTGATTACAATTATACTAAGATCGTACATGGTAGAAACAAATTTCACAAAAGTTATGGAAGTCATTTAGAATTTCATGCTTATATAGATTTAATGTAAATAAGAATGTCATTTTAATCAATTTAATTTGGCTGACTAAACCAATATTGATAATTTCCATATGAATTTTGTCTTTCAAATTTATTTATACTGGAGACAGGGCAAGCAAAATATTTCTATAAAGGAAAAAAGTTTCTTGAATAAATAATAGATGGTGGATCTATATTAACTAAATAATTAATTAAAATATGGTACTTGTGTCATTTTAATTTAGATGTTATCCCTTCAGTTCCACAAACTTACTAGACAAGCATAGACCATTATATGTTCATTTGAAGGGCATGCCTTTAACTTTATAGGGCTGTTTGATGCAATAACTTGTAATTTATTGTTCCACCAGCCTTAGCGGACTATTTCAGATATTAAATGAAAACACAAAATGAGCGTACCACATTCCCACGGTCAAGAACAAGGATGTTGTCCATATTCATAATGCTGGAAATGCGGTGAGCAATTGTGATTACTGTCATTCCTTTGCATTCAGTAGATATTGCATGTTGTAGTACTGAAGCTGTTTGAGTGTCAACGCTAGCTGTGCATTCATCCAAACAAAGTACCTGACAATTTACATCGTGTTAGTACTCTTTCACCATCTCTCATAACAGATAAACACAACGATACATAAATTTTTGTATCCAGTACCGAGCTACTTTTTCCTGTCAATATTTATTGTTGAATCTAAAATATCCAAGAATTTATAGTGTGTTTGTAATTTATTTCCCTATCTCAAAACAAGCAACAATTACATAGATGCATTCTTCTGCATAAATTTCACTGAATATTGCAGTAAATTTCAGCATTCCCCTACTATCCTTCATTTTCAGACTTGAGGAATCTTCAAAACGACTGCTCAAGTTAGTAGACATTATCAACCTCACTTTATCTGTACCTCTTTCTTTCTTTCTTTCTTTCTTTCATTTTATTCATGAAGTGAATGTCACATTTACATTCAATAGACCATGGCTGAAGTACTCGGCACCAGTTCAAGACCAGATTGGTATCAAATCATTGATGCAGAAAATATTATTCGTTTACCTTGGAAGACTTTAGAAGAGCACGTGCAAAGCATAGCAGCTGCCTTTGCCCAACGGAAAAAGATGATCTGGATTGCTTTATGTGAACATCCAGTCCACCTGCCATTTCTACTTCCTCCTTGACATGGCATTTCTCCAGAATACTCCAGATTTCAAAGTCATTAGTCATCTGAAGTGGATCAAGGTTTTCCCTAGATGTTCAAAGGACATGAAAAAAACTAACTATTTGAAGATTATCAAATGATTTCAAACTGCTACAAGACTATCAACCTCAACACAGAAGAAAGTGTGACATCCAAAATACCAGCGTAGCAGGACAAATGATCCACAAACAAAATTGATTGAGCATACCTTAATGATCCTTCAAATAGGAAGGGACTCTGGGGAACAACAGAAAAGTGTGAACGGAGATCTCTAACAGGAACATCAATTATGTTAATGCTATCAACCAAAATACAACCACCACATATAGGAGAGAGGCGGAAAAGGGCATTCAAAATACTGGATTTTCCAGCACCTGTTCTTCCAACAATCCCAACCTGCTTGAATTAAATTTTACAAGGTGAAAATTTGGGTACTGCAAAGCTTTGAATCTCAATACAAGTCATTGAATGCAAAGTCAGCATAGTTCAGTATCAGCATTATGTGCACTAACCTGTGTCCCTCCTAGAATGGTAAACGTAACACAATTTAGTGCAGGAGGCAAAGATGGCATGTATCTCATTGTAACATTCTGAAATTTGATTTGTCCTTGAAATGGCCAATTAGGATTCAGAGATAGTGATCCTCTAAGCTCTTCTTGGGGAATATCCATATACTGAAGGGTAAACAATGTAAGTAATTAACAGAGAAAGTTTATGAAATAACATACTCTATCTTGATACCTGAAGAGCTCTCTCAACAGAAACCATTTCCTTCTCTGTTTCAGTAAAACTTGTTAAAAAGCTTCCTAACAATGACACAATTGGAGCTGCATATGAGAGAGCCAAACCTACCTGCAAAAGCACATTAAATGTCAAAATGTGTATCTGGATTTGAAGTGAGTGACTGATCTACGATCTCACTGCTTTAAGCTTATCTGAAAATAAAATTTGATGGCTAAAATGGAAAATACAGAGAGGTTGAAGAGAGTACCAGCCCAGGAGTACCGAAACTAATTGGTAAATATCCACGGGATCCAACAACAGCCATCATGGCAACAAATGTGATGATAAATGCTGCTAACAACTAAAAGAAAGTCCACTAATCAGTAGAATAACCAGGGCAGTTTATATATAACTCCTTATATTTCTAAAGCATCATTAGTAATTAAAAAAGAAATTCACACCGTGAATTGCTTCACACAATATTCTCAGTCCATGCACATATCACTACCCGTGCTTAAGAAAAGTAGAAGTATTTCACGATCTTCATCTCTGATATATACCTGGAGACGCAATGAAAGCCACAAACTTGCTATTATCTCTGAGTAAGAAGTTCGCTGATACAAGGTCACATGCTCAGTGAATTTGGCAAAGAAGTAGTCCTGTCAACAACCAGCACTTGTCAGTGCATAGACAATTTTTTTTTCTATTTCATCGTATTGCCAGTAGTATTTATCAACTATATCAGTAAGAACACAAATATGAGAAATTTAAGATTTCTATTTAGAGACAATAATATAGGGCTTCAGTCAATGATGGCAGAACCAAAGCTATAAATATTCTGACAGTCTAAGGTCAAAGACCCTAGAGTTTGCCACAAGAAAATCTTGCAGATCCCTTGATCTAATTCCTCATAAAATTATGATCACTGATGTCTCGAGTGCAAACAGAGACTTACCAGTTTTAAACTTGAAAGATGAGGATTACTTCAGGTATGTAATTTTTTTTTTCCAAAATTAAGATATTTTTCTTTCTTTTCCTTTTTTTTTTTTTGGATCAAAACTTGCTTACCCTATCTTCTGAAAATATCTAAATGTTGAAAATAGGGGGAAAATTATTTTGTTTCAACAGCACAATTTCTTGGAAATGGATAGTAAGTCTTAATTTAGTAAGAAGTTAATGAAGTTTACCCCACTCAAGAAATGGTGTAACTGTAACTGCACATCTAATATCAATATTCCCGACACTGGATTATTTTAAAGCCTTTTTCTTTAGCTTCTCCAGACTTGTGCTGGAAATCACTCTTCCCTTGTAATTTTTCATTTTTTTCAGATGGTTCTTTTTAATGCATAGTGGAAAAAAATATATATAGCTGGCTCCAGTGCTAGTAGATATTCTAAAGAGTTATTTTTTCTACCTCAGAATTAAATGCCCTTATAGTGGAGGAGCCATCAAGTGTCTCTGTGAAGGTTGCATATATAGGCGAACGAGAAACACTGTCCAGTCTTCGCAGTTCCCTTGAAGTTGATCTGTAGAAAAACTGAAGAACTTCCAACTAAGTACAAAGCTCCATATTCCAACTGTCCGTTTTCTATTTATATTTTCACAATATTGTTACAAAAGGTTGCAAGTGTTTCTGAAAATACGATATATTTCTAAAACTTTGACCTCATTTTCCCTGCCGTTACTCGTCTCATTCCTTAAATTTCAACCAATATGGTTACAGGAATGAAACAATTCAAGGAAGGAATCTACCATGGTCATAATTTCACGCGAGGAACATTGCTGTGCTTTTATTGAACAATACCATTTGACATAGAACTAATTCCTGATCTTTGGGCATAATTACAAGAAGCTTTGAAGCATAAACAATTTATGTATATTATTCATTTACTTTGAAGAATAAAATTTGAAGCTATGATTAGAATTTGAAACTCTGGGTATCCTGAGGTCAAGCATATACCTGTAGCCTGCTGTAAATAAACCAAAATGGTAACAATAAAAGCAAGAAGACAACCTGCACATGCATATACATCCAGTAAAGGAAATGTTTTGTGCTTGTAAAAAGTATAGAAATTTCCATAGATCATAAAGTCAAAATGAAGAATTTTATGATTACCTGCACATATGACAAAACTATTGCTATTCCCAACAGGCCAACAAAATTGGCAAGGAGAATATTGAGAATGAAAGGAAGAGAATCATCTATTGTATAGAGATCAGAAGACATCCTAGAAAGTGCAATAAATATGTTAACATGTGCCTGGATAAACAAGACTGGCATAGTTATTAAGATAGCATCTTATTCTAACCTGTTAAGTATTCTTCCAGCAGGTGTTTGATCAAAGAACCACACAGGTGCGTCAATAAGCTTACTGAGCAAAGTATTGTGCACTTTCACTGCAGCATGCAACCCACCAAATGCAAATGAAAATGCCCTCACCAGTGTAAGAGATGAATTTATAATACAAAAGATGCAGAGAACAACCTGGACAATCAGTTTCCAAGTCAAAGAAGAAAGAAATAAGCTTATGAATAACAAGATCCCTTACCTCTTTTCTTCCCTCTACATTAACTTATACAATAACTTGGAAACACTAATACAGTGAAGGCAATTCCATTATACTACTCAACCGTTAAATTAGCTGACTGACTGCACCTTCAAGAGTGAACTAAAGGAGCACAAAATATGACAGTGAAATCTCTATATAACTGAAATATCATAAAAGGTGATACTTTTCATTAAATAGACCACATAGCTGGGAGTTGCTTAAAATTTCGTAGCGGAAAATTCAAGACTTTTGCACGTGCACCTTTATCCCCACTGATAAAGATAAAATATGGAAAATTTGACTTCTCTATGGACCTTGCACAATTTTAATACAATGGTCAGAACTCAAAAAATAAGAGCATAAAATAAGGTGATTGCAACTTTGCAATTAATATTATGAGAATCTACTACAAGGCTTTTAACAAAATAGCTGTACAATTAAATATTCTTATATTGATGTTGACTCCATATTCCTAAGATCGTTGCTTATATTTAGTGGATAAAGGTCTATGAGGCATATTTAGTTGCTTATATTGAGAATCAAGCTTGCATGACTTGATTGATTTTCATAATATCAGCAGCAGTAATCATTCCATGGATTTTTATATAGAATAAGAAAGGTCTATGAGGCAAAGGTCCTATAAATTAATAAAGTTAAACAGCATATTAGCAACAGTACTTTGTATAGGAAAAAGAATTACCAGAAAGAAGGATGTCGAGTAGCCTGCTGGACTACTTGCAGTGGTATCAACCCAATAGGACAGCCATAGATCATTTCCATTACGAGAAGCTTGCATTAAAATAGCTGACAGGCATATTACAACTGTTATGGACCAGCCGGAAAATGCTGCGTAATTCCTATGAAAAAAGTAAATTGTAAACATTAACAATCCAAAAAAAAGGGTTCAGTTATGATCAACTTTTCTTTGGCAACCAGCTAGAAAATTAAATGGAAAAGCTCTAATATTCCCTGCCCAGAAAACATTGGAATCCCTTATTCGCTAGAAATACTAAGCGGTAAATTATTACTTGTATACAGCAAGTTCAACTCTGCCCTCTTTCCTTATCTCAACTTCAACGATCTCTTGTGCGTCCTCTGAAATGTGGCTAGATTCTTTCTCCCCAGTGAGACTTTTTCTGCCTTCAATAGAAGTAACTATGCTAATTTCTTGCCCTTGAACATATGGTAATGTATCAAATTCATTCTGCGGAGAAAATGCGGAATATGATGATATTGGCAAGTCAGCCGAACTTCCCACCCATTTCACATATCCTTTATCCATTACAACAATCATATCAGCAGAAGATATTGCCTGCATGGGTTATGACATATAAACAATCATGTCAGAACAAGTTATCTCTGCATAACAGTGCCTTTTCAGGTGAAGTAATATTACTTCAAAAAAGAAAAAAAAAAATCATATAAAGCTTTCCTAATCCTCTTGCTGAGCATTTCTGAAAACTAAATTGTCCTTTTCTGTTTGGTTGCAACCTTGGAGATGAATTGGGAATATCTGGTTTCTGAACTAATCTAGAAAAATTAATTTCCTTAAAGAGAAAACCGTGAGAATCTTCGGTTAAATTCCTTAATAATGGCTCTGTTTTTCTTTGAACAGGAAAATGTTTTCCTTGGACTCATTTCCCACTGACTCCAAACATTAAAAAGGTTTAAAAAAAGTTCCAGTTCCACAAACAAACAGAGATATTGAATGCAGAATATTGAATTCAAGGAAAATACCTGGATATTATGGGTACAAAGAACACGGGTCTTTTGATCCATAAGAGGGCCAAAGATGACATTGTATAGAATCCACCTTCCAACTTCAGAATCAACTGCACTGAGGACGTCATCAAGTATATATACATCTGATCTCTGATAAATGGCTCTGTTGCACATCATTTTTTAGATAGACAAACATTTGTTTAAGAACAAGAAATAAAAATATAATTGGAACATAAGATGTTCGCTGTTCACTGATAAAAATACAAAAATAAAGAATTCAAGATGCAGAAAACCTAGGCTGCACAAATGTAGGAACGGCTGTCACAAGAAATAAAAAAATTCAAGCTGATTTTGATTTCAGAAGGGAGAAAAAAATAAATATGTAATGGATATGACCTTGCCAAAGCAAGACGAGCTCTCTGTCCTCCAGATAAGTTGACTCCTTTCTCTCCAATATAAGCCATGTCACCTCCAACCATCAATGAAATATCAACATCCAGCGCACAAGCCTTTATAGTATCTGAATATCTGTCAAGTAGTGAAAAGAAAAAATAAGAAAACAAAAAGCCCACCAGTCGAGAGCAGGACAACGTTCTTCCATAATATGACAAAACGTGCCACAATTTCACCTAGAAACATAACTTCCTCATTCCTTCTCAGTAAGACTGCCAAAAAACTAGAACATTTGCAATCAAATATGAAGCAACATAGTAAGGGATAAGGATTTCCAGCACAAGAAAAGGTACAAGATTTTGAAGAGGATAAAGAAGTTATACCTTTTTGGTTCATAGTTCATCCCAAATAAAATATTGTCACGTACTGTTCCAGACAAGATCCACGGAACCTGAAATTCGAAAAAGAAAAAAATCGACAAAAAATATTTTGCATAAAAGAGGAGTAAGCTACCCAAGCACTACTTAGGAGAAGTCTATAAACCTGTGGCACATATGCTATAGATCCGTTTGAATGAACTGACCCATGGATAAGCCGCATTTCCCCCAATATTGCACCCAATAAGGATGATTTGCCTGAACCAACCTGGATAAACAAAGTTAGGAAGGGGAAAGAAGAACGCAGGACGGAACATATGGGAGAATAGGATCCATCCTAGAGATGTTATTGGAGCTTTGAGAAAATGTATCAGCTAACAATCTTCCAGTCACTTATGTGTTAAATTGTGCGACAAAGGGAGAAGTGCCAATCACCTAAACAGGTGGTGCACATGATCTTTCCAGGGCATCTGCACCCAATTTGTATATTAAAGTAGAAATAATCACTACAATATTTACAACTATAACTATAATGAGATAGAAGAGTTCACATTATTACCACCTATTAAGAGGAAAAGAAAGACTAAGATTGACAAGGAACTCTTTACTTATTCTCTTAAATACAATATATTCATCAGTTCTTCACCCACAAAGCTTTAAAAGGAAGCTTAGTCTTAAAGAAATCAGTATTTCACGTTCAAATTTCAAAGCTCTAACACTATTTTCAATTTCTTTTACTTTTTTTTTTTTTCCTCTTTTGTTTCATTCTCAAACCTGTAATTCCAAAAAGCATCATGTATGGAATTGAAATTTGACCTCTCCAGTTATCGCAATGAATGACCCCTTTGGAAGAGATAGAGTTGCATGATTTAACACCAGATTCTGATGCTGTTCATTACTGCTTGACCAAGCACAGCATGCATCATGCATTATAACAGCCATGTCTTTAGAGGTAGAGTCAGACTGGTAATTCAAGAAAAGAGATGGAGATTCAGCTTTTTGGTCTATTTCACGTCTGTACTCTGAACAGCAGAGAAACCTGCTCAACCTCCGGATTGATACAAGTGCCTGGTTTAAAGAGAAATTGCAACTATCAATAATTAGCATATCGAATATTTATTAAAAATTCACATTACACGTGCAACTCACATCAATCAATCCATTGATGACCCATGGGAATGAATTGAGAGGAGATATCAAATTATTGAACAAAGCAAGACAGGTGAAGACCTGAAACGAAGATTCTTGGAGATATTAAATTTTTTGTAGTTATCACATTGTTGCTAAGTAACGAACAGAATAAATACTAAAAATAGCATAAATAGAGAAGTTTGACATTGCTATATCACATGAGATACAATCAGAATACCGTAGCAGCCTCAAGTTGATGCCCCATCAAAGTAAAAATTCCAAATGTAAACAAAGAGAAGAGAGTTGGTGTCGTAGCCCAAAAGAAAACGCACCATGCATCCAAATATTTCCGTGTCTGACAAGAAAGGGAAAAGATAATGATTGGTAATTATTCGAGAATTTGAAGAAAAGGAATAATGCCCAATATATAGTATTTATCTAAGACCACCCAAGTAAAATATTAATGCCATACAGCTAAGTGTTTCACTTCTGAGGACCTTGTTTCCATCAGCCAACTAGAGAAAAGATGCTCCCAGCCATACATCTTTAAAGTGCGAATATGTGTCAAAATTTCTCCTGTTCTTCTAATCCTGTGACAGAAGATACCTATTAGAATGAGTGTCGATCAAAAGAGGACTCCTATGTGTGCATTTTTCTGATCCCATAATCCCCAAGGTTCCATTTGGCGAGTCATAATATAATGGAATGGAATGGAATATAGTCAAGTGTGTTTCTAGAGTAATGTTTACATTAGAAATGCATTTGGTTACATTAAGCATTTGATTACATTATTCCCATGCAGTTCACTAATGGAGTCCATGATTATTTATGCATAATCATCACTGAGCTTGAAATTCCTCTTGCTCTTGGTAAAACTGTTGAAATGGCGCTCAGAACTAGAAAAAATTTGTGAAAGATCATTGGAGGACAAAGACCATTTCTTACTTATTGTAAAGACGATGTTGATTACAGGGAAAATGTGTTTGGATGAGTGAAGACTATCTCACAAAGCACTAGGACTCAAGAAAAAAAAAAAGAAAGACTATTCTCCTTCATGTCTATTAGCTGACTGCTCATGCACAATATTAAAATCCATCACGTACATGTTTAAGGCAGCAACAACCGTCTTGGTTATAATAATCATACATCCAACTCTCAGTATTCATTTTGCAAACAACAGAGTAAAAAATTATATGAATACAAATGTGTACCTCTCATCTTTTTGCTTCATCATTTTCTCAGTAGCGGTTGCAATTAACTCAGAAATCCATTTATTCACTGCATAAAAAATATTAAAATAATAAAAGAAATATATCTTGTCCTTGGATAATAAGCTGCAATAAATAACATTACAACTTACAAGTGATACTGCAGAAGTGTCCATAATTCTAAATGATATACATGTGTGTGCAGGGGCGGCGCTATACTATGTGAAGTGGGGACCCCACTCAATTTTTTAAAAAATATTTATAAAATAGGATTAAATTGATAAAAGAAATTATATATAAATTATTTATAACAATAGTGATTAAATATTGATAAAAGGGAATCGTTTATATACCTATATATTATATATTATATCATATATATATATTATATATATTATGTTTGAGAAAAAATTTAGAAGTTTTTAATCCAAATATGACCCACTAAAAATCAATTAATAAAATTGACAGAAAACTAGAAAATACTTTCGAGCTCCGTATATATATTATGTGAAAAATTTAGAGTTTTTAATCCAATTGACCCCACTAAAAATCAAATTTAATAAAATGACAGAAACTAGAAAATATTTCGAGCTCCGCCACTCTATGTGTTTGTGTATGTGTGGATGGAGATGCCTGATAAGAATGATGGATTATGAGAAAGGACTCGCATGATACATTTAGAGATTTTCAATTTGGGAAATCCAAAACGAACCATGGGAATATAAATTAGGCATATAGGTAAAAGCTTCTGCTGGAAAGCACCAAGGTGCAAACTTTTACCACTTCTTGCAAATTGTGAGGAGACTTTGTCTAGATTACCTATTCTAGAAACCCTATTTCAGAAGCACCAGCATTGGCTAACTAATGCAATTCTCTTCACGTTATCCTCCAACATAATCAGTGTACTCCACATATTATTTTTCTTCTGGATACTTGTGATCATGTGTATTTTTGGGTTAGTTTCAAATATTTTGTTATCGGTTATCTAGTATGATGATTTAAGATCTAAATTTAACAACTTTATTTCTACCAACATATATATATTTTTTTTCATTGCATGATTTTTACTTAGTCTCTCTACCCACACAAGCAAACGAGAGTTTTTTCTTAATCATTTGCATTCAATCAATACATGGGATTTACATTGTAATTTTAGGCTGAGCAATAGGAAGGAACCATGTTCAGCACACACTTTTGATAAAGAGCCATTAGCATGTTCATGATGAGAAAGTAAATTTTGCTAAACAAAATTACACAGAAGTGCTTATTGCAGATTTTATGCAAAAATTGAGACATCAAGTAGAACACACACCTGGTATTAGCAAGATTGTTATTGCCAGTCCAGAAAGAAAAGCAAATTTGACTTGGGTATACAAAAGATACAATGCTACTCCAATTTGTAAAGGCAAGCTGAAAATATCATGAGAGCTTAATTATTCATATTATCATACAAAGAAGATACCACCATAGACCCTTGCTACCAAAAATATGGAGCAAAGAAAATCAAAATACCAGTGGTGACAAAAACTATTGACAAATTTACAGACTAAAAAAATGTACACTCTTATCCGTTACAGGAATCACTGCCACATATTCCCAGTCAAAGTTATGTGCAAAATAAAAAAAATAAAACTGGCCAACCAAATATGAACTCCTTAAGAAACTATTTTGCATTGATTTATTTCAATTTCCGATGAACTCATTTCTAGTTTTATGAAGAAGTTATTCAGGTTTCTGACTGTCTTCATCCATCTCTATGAAAGTATTTCATTTAGATAAAAAAAACAAAAAAAAACGCCAAGAGAAAGAGTGGATGATTCTGTTTGATACAAAAGATATATCACCACCTTCTAACCATGCAAAGTCATTTGGGTTGCATAGTACAATAATACAACTTTTAAATCCAACAGTAAGTTCCTGTTCTGACACTAAGCAGAATTGAGTTTCTCTTTAACTAATCATACCACAGAATTTGACAGATTTAATTTTCTTTCATAAATAGGATAAGATTGCAGCTTTTTTTTACCTCCATACATCATGGAAACTGTTACACAAGTTGACAGTTCGATCAGCATCTACAGACATAAACGTCTGTACTTCCCCCTCAGAAAATTTGGATCGCTCTGCTAGGGTAACACTTAGGCACTAAGATAAAAGTATTAATGAATGTCATAGTGATTATAAAGCAGCGGTAACTGGTAAGTAATAATACACAAAGCAAGCTGAAAACTAACATCCTAAAGAAGAATCAACAATAGGTTTTCAAACAGAAATATCACATCCACTTGTGAGCTACAACAAATAATTCAATTCCTACCAAAAAACGTAGAGTTTTGTATAGTGAACAAGCAGATAAAGATATACACTAAGTAATTAGTGCTAGAACAACAAGGATGTCAAATTTAACTAAAAGAATTTGGAACTATGTGAATTTGAATTTGACAGTGAGAAAGAATTCAGCAAATAATTATTCTGCCTACATGAAGATTTGAAAATAGTTTTAATTATTAAAGCACAACGCACTTATACTTAATTTGGTAGGTCATCATGAATCTTTTTTTCAAAAAATTTACATTTCTATTGTGTTTTTCATGCCATTACTATTTTGCTCTACCAAATGTATTCATAAATCTTACACAAATATGAGATAAACCTGATTTTGATTACTTTACCAGAAGACAAATATTTGTTATTGGAGCAGCAAGAAAGCTAGTCCCTAACATCACACATCCTAGGTGCAGAATTCTAGTATCCAAAATTTATCCATCCTCATAAGCTTCTCTTTCAAAACAAAGTTTGTGAAATACTCAACTTAATTCGATATGCATTAATTGCAAGTAAGATAAATAAAATTGTCAAGAATTTAGTCCCAATATAGTCAAATAATAACAGCAATCCACTAGCTTACATGCATTCATGTCTAAAGCCTATCAGAAATGCATAATATTTGTACCTTCTGATAAATTACAGTCATAATACCAGATCGTAGCTTTAGCTTCAACTTTGCAAGATGAAATGTATATTGTGTATCTAAGAAAGATCTGCAAAATTGGGACATCTGTTACTGTTAAAATGTCATCAACTAAACTGAGACAATTCCAAATTGAGAAATGATTCTTAAGTGACAAGAATGCTTAGAATCCTGCAGTAAGCGAAATACAAAAGAAAGGTCTTCATGTATGCATGCTACTCTTTAACTTAAAAAAATGTTCAGCAAAAATAAAGGCGGTGGATAACTTCCAATGCCACACAAACTTCTTTTGTGTCACATATTAATCCTATTTTGGTTAAAACTTTCTAGCAAAATTTTCAACTAAAATAAATTTAAGAGAAGTGCCAATAATTTAATTACAAGGAAAGAAAAAAGAAAGAAGGAAATAAAGAAAAAGAGAGTTGCAAAAGAGCTAAATAAGTTATTGGAGATTGAGAATGATATTTACTTTAAGATGGATGTAAGGCCCAAGGATAGTGCAAGAACATAGCCATCCTGGTGTGCAGAACCTGAAACATGACAACCAATTTCACCAACATATGTTTATCAGCATAAAAGATCAATGACCACAACTATAAAGCAATAAAAGGTTAAATGCATGCAGTTTGCATCTAAATGTATTAAAATAAAAAAATCCAAATTAAATAGCATCATTCTGCCTACAAGATCCATCATTAGCTAAGACATGAAATAAAGAAAATGTATTCATTGCTGAACAACCAGAATTAGAAACTGATCAAATCCTCCAAACCTTGTTGAAGAAACCGAATGAGCTTATTGAGAAGCAACGGTCCCGCAAAACCAATTAAATCATTGAACACCTGTAAAAAGTAAAATTATCTATATCTATAATAATATAAAAGTGGGAATGGGGAATATTGAAATTTCCAAAAATGCCCCTATTAAATTTATAGATTGACAAAAATATCATCAAGGACCTTTAATTTTATTGGTTGAAAAATAAAGACAACTTGATTAGTCACATTAATTGCCCATTTAAATCTAAATTCTACTGAATAAGATAATAAATAATATTATATATTATATAAGGTATATATTAAATATGGTAAGAATATAATATTTTTAAGGATTTTAATTTTAGTTGTTGAAAAAAATAAATGCAATTTAATTTTGATTAGTTATATTAATTTTATATTTAAATCTAAATTATATTGGATAAACTAAGAAATTATGCCCACTTGTTAAATCAAATTCTACTGACATAAGATAATAAATTTAAATATTATATGATTATATAAGGTATATATTAAATATCGTAAGAATATCAATATTTTAAGGAATTTTAATCTTTAGTTTGTTGAAAAAAAATAAATGCAATTCTCTAATTTTTGATTAGTTATATTAATTTTTAATTTAAATCTAATTTATATTTGCGATAACTAAGAAATTATATATATACAAAATCAAACGTAGTATATTAAACAAGTTAAGGATATAATATTCTTTAAGAATTTTAATTTTATTAGTTGAAAAAAATAAAGGCAGTATTTAATTTTGATTGTGGTTATATTATTACAAATTATTATAAGGTACCATATTAATATATAGTATTATACAATATAAGGTACATATTAAATATAGTAAGAATATAACACCCTTAATAAATCTTTAATTTGATTGGTTATAATTATTTCCTACAAGTAACTTATCTACAATGAATAATGTAATTTATTATTATTATAATAAGAAATATTATTTTAAGATTTATTGTTTGATATAAAATAGAAAATAAAACTCACTAGAAATATATCTATAATATAAAATTATGATATAACACATTATATTAGTAAACCATATAACAAGTTGAATGAAATTTTTTTCCTATCAAAAAAAAGCAACCACAAAATTAAATGCTCATAGACTTTAGCTAAAAGTAAAAATAAAAAATACCAAAATTATAGACGATGCTCTAAAACAATAAGTAATATATTAATTATTATAATGACTATCTATCTATAATATATAATATCTATAATATAAATTCAAAACATAATAAACCAAGTCAAGCTAATCCTCATTTTAAAACAATTTATTGTTTTAGTAGTTTATTATTTCACAAAATATTCTTTTTACTGTTTTGCAAGTACTTTTAGATTTTTAGTAATATAAATTACTCATAATATTATAATTTATAACAAAAAAAAATATATAATTTATTAACAAAAAAATTTAATAGAAAATTTATATATATATATATTATATTACTATGATTAAATACACTTTATTTGCAAGAGGAGTAAAACTCAAATTAAATATAAACAACTGTGCAACAAACATTTGAGAAAAATTAGTTTTCATTATAAAAATTATTTACCTTTAAGAGAAATATATTAAATTACATTTATTTGCAATGAGTAAAACTCAATAAATATAAACAATGTGCAACAAACATTTGAGAAAATTAGTTCATTATAAATGTATTTACCTTTAAGGAAGCAACAAATAAAATTATTTAATGAAAAGATTATATTCATCATAGATACCTGATCTTTTATGGAAAATGAAGCATTTGACAGACAATCACCAAAATGGTTTTCTCATGTAGCAATCCAATATTCCTATTTTTGTTCTCCTGATTTATATTTCGGTCTCATATTCCAATATGAGGAAAACCTTTTTCATAACAACCAAAATGGTTAACACAAAAATTAACATAGGTTTACCTATTTTCAACAATTTTTAAATCATTAGGAGTGATATGTGAGGGATATCTAACTAAGCAACAACTTCATAACCATATGAAATAAAATATACATAGCCACTATCATGGAAAAGGGGCTAGTTTAAAAAAGGGAAGCAAAATGAATAATTATCTCCTTGATCGACTATGCAAAAGATAATCGCTATGTACTTTCTTCTCTAATAACAAATGGATGGATAATGACCTTAGATTAGATTCAGTATCCCATCTTGACAATAACAATCATATAAGCTTTATAATATGATGTGAATTTCAGCCTGAGTGAATAAATTACCTTTAATAAACCAATACAAAAGTACGGCCATCCATATGCATAGCCAATGGCTTTAAACAAGAAGGGATTAGAGCTCCTCAGCTGAACTTGCCAGCAGCTTAACAATCTGTCATGACAGGTTGAAGGTTCCATGTCATTAGGTAGCCAAAGCAAATCTTCAAAGTCAAGCTGCTTTATGGTACCACGCTTCAACAAAGAAGTGATAGATTTGAATGTCATGAGATCCCAACATCTCCGAGTGTTTCCCTTCGACAACCATGTGATGTACAATCATTTACCATGGAGTTTATTGAATTTCATATAAAGGAAATGAATAATAAACAACAGCAAAGGGAGGATCTCATTATTGATGTGAGCCTCACCTCTTCAAAGAACTGAGACTATACTACTTGTGAAAGAGAAAAAGGAAATAGAAATTAACTGTTTCAGCTGTAGTGACACTATATCATACACCCTTTTAATATAAGTAAAAAGGAAAGATGATGAACAAGTGGCATAAAAAAATGCAATTCTAAAATGTAGACAATGGAACAAGTTGCTCAACAAAATAGACAGAGAATAAGTGAAAATTCATTAGCAGAGGTGGAAATAAAATATTGTAACTATTCTGAAATAACCTTATGGACATGTGAAATAGTCATTCGGACATGAATTTCACAACTGCAGTCCTATTCCCCATGGACAGGGGTTTTAGCTATCATCGGGAAGAGAAAGTCTACTACTAAAGCTTGAAATGCCAGAACTACATGGTATAGCTGGGAGAAGCTAGAATATTGGTCCAAAAATTCCTATCCTAGAAAACACCATTGATAAATGTTATTTGACATGCAATGCGCTTAGAACTTCTATGGTGGTCCATGCCAAAAGATTACTTGTGGAGTTAACTGATATCAAACTCAGCAAACCTTCTAGTGAAGTAGAAATATAACAAAATAAAATGACAATAGCAAAAGAACACCAAACTATTGAAAAGCCTTTTTAACTACAAAATACGAGATATTAATTAAAAATTTTATTGCAGCAATTTAAATTATAAAAAGAATGAAAGAAACATAAATCTTACTGAAAAAAATTAAAATGGCAACAAATTACTTACGGAGTGACCATCTCCCTCGATATCCATATCAGCTGCAAGAAGAGGATCTTCTATTGAACTATAATGGTCGATGAATCCCGATATTAGAAGAATAACAAAGATAAAATATAACTTCATAGAAAAATGTACCTCAAATGAACAAAGTGGCTAGATATCTGGACATAATATCTTTCAGCAATCAAATGTTCAATGGGAAAACAAAATTTTAATCCTTACAGGCTTGTAACAAACAAGATTGAACAACTACACTATGTTATTGAGCAATTATTAACAAACAGATATAATTAAGTACTATTTGATGATTTACATGTGTATGAGCATACCAGCATCTCTGCACATGTTTGAGGAAGACAAGGGATTTTCAATTGAGTAAACATACTTTCTTAATGGAATTGAGAAGCAATAGTGACAAGAGCATTAAATCAGAATCCACTTCAGTTATCATGCAATGCTATAAGAATGGAAATGTTGGAAGCCACGATGCTTGAAGATATTAGCACTATACACCTAAAAACGCTTGCAAAATTATGTTGCCTATTCTCACATCTAGTTTCTCCATGTGAAAAAAACAGTATCTTAACAATAATTTATCCAACCATTTTAAAACAAATAATCTCACTATTCAATATATTTCTCATTGGTTGCTCCAATAACAATGGAAGGTCACCTTAGTTGGCAATTTACTAGTCAGTAACCACAATGGCACATTTCATTACAACTAAATCAACTTTGGCAGCATCATATGCAGTTGCTTAGAGGCACACCGGAGGAAGGGCATCTCGAGTGAAGTTGTGAAATGAAGAAAAGTTGGTAGTTGATCAAGATTCAAAGAAATATCGCACTCAATGAACTAGTTTTAGTGAAGATAACGACAAGGAAAGAAATCAAGTTAAAAAAAAAAAAAGTAGTCCTTGGTACTCACGAAGTTTCCAATTTTAGGAACGTAAAGACAAATTCACTCCTCCATATTCTAAACAAGATTCCACAACGACATTCGAACAGGCCAATAATAATATTAACAATATAGCCACACACACACACTTGTTCGTTAAGAGCATGATTTTGCGCACATTTTATCTATGACCATGTTTTTAGCGTTATCCTTCAATAATACCATTGGAATATAGCAACATTCAAAAGTAAAGACACTACGAGTAAAAAAAAAAAAAAGTGGTTATACCTGCTTTTTTGAGATGCTTGCTTTATCCTGATAATGTTAATGGATAAGCCAAACATGATGTCCAACAAAACAACTGAACTCTCTTTTAGGCATCTGAAAACCTCCCTCTAATTTCAAATAATTGAGATTTCAATTTATCAGTGAAAAATGAAACAATATTCCTATATCAAAAGCACACACAATGAATGTGACACCCTAAGCGAATACCACTCGGCTAAGCACAAGATGTAAGTGAAGTACATAAGAATTGGCAAGCCTTAGACTAGCAAAAGGCCTTTTGGGCTTGAGTTGGTTCTAGCCCAAGAACAAAACCGTGCAGGCCTGAGTTGGTTCGGCCCAAAGCGGACGATATCTTGCTAGGCCTGGGATGCCACAATGAAATATGGTATTAAATGGAAAAGGATCTCTATTGCTAGGAGGAACTAAATGCCCAGAGATCTGGTCTCTATGTTACTCAAACAAACACTGTTATACCCCTAAGGATGGGATGAAGTTCAAAAAATCATGGCAAGTCCCAAGAAATGCCAAACAAACTCATGCTTTAGCAAGTCCCAAGTGACAAAAATGTAATATTTCCATTTCATTATGGAGCTATCCACTGTAATAAATGACAATGTAAAAATTGCTTAGGACCATGCAAGGCAGACAGAATGAAGCTAACAGAAAAGTAGGGAAAAAAAAAAAAAAAAAAAACCTCTGTCTCTATGTTTACTCAACACAACACTGTCACTATACCCCCTAAAGGATGGGATGACAGCTTCAAAAAAATCATGGCAAGTCCAAGCAACATGGCCAAACAACTCCATGCTTTAGAGCAAGTCCACAAGTAGGACAAAAATGTCAATATTTCCATCTTCATACTCATGAGCTAAGCTTCCCACATGTAATAAAATGACCAATGTAAAATTGACTCTAGAACCCATGCAAGGCCAGACAGAATGAAGCTAAGCAGAAATAGCTAGGCCAAAAAAAAAAAAAAGAAAACCAGATGCCCAGTACCTCCAATTAATGCAAATGTTTTTGTACAGATGAACAGATTTCAAGACTAGCACTTTTCATGACTCCACACGAACACAAGAAAGGGAAAAAAAAAAAAAAAAAACAGAAGTACCTCCAATAATGCAAATGTTTTGTACAGATGAACAATTTCAAGTAGCACTTTCATGATCCACCAGAAACAAATGAGCTGGTTGCAAAATATTTCATGGAAGCAGGCCCACCTTGCAGAAATTATAATGGTTGTCTGCACATTTGTAAGAGCAGAAACTTGAACTAAAACTCTTACCCCAGCACAACAAAGGTTATGACAATACAGAGAACAAATTAAGTTATAAAAACCTTACCCAGACTACCAATTGAGAACTTCTGAAAAGCCATTCATCATAAACAACAAATTCTCCATAAAGTTCTTTCTTGATAAGCAAAACCATGTCCATAAATGACATACATGCTCCAAGGGCAGGTAGAAATTGCAACACAACCTTTTTTGTAAAGGTCATCTGCGTAATCCTTATAAAGCATTAGAACATCTAAAATTAAGAGTTGAGAGAGACATAATTGAGAAAGAGTGCATAATTTGGAGAAAGAAGTCAGGAAGATTGATCACAGGAGCGTTTAGTGTGTAGACCATGCATGTGGTGAGAGAACTTGGAAGTTAAATCCGGAAGCATAACACATAAAGATTACTGGTTTATCATCTAAGAAGTTCCACACAACCACACGAATTAAGCTCAACTTTAAGGCATAAAATCCATACCCTGCGAATCCTTCCGGCACTTCTCCGAGTAATTGCAAGTATTGAAATTATAAGAATAGTCACCATATTTGCACCAAATCCTAAAACTTTACACATTGTCAAGGAAAAGCAATTCATGCAAACAGCAGTTATGTTTGTCATTAAGAATGTGAAGAATAAGCGTATTTACTTTAAGTTAATTAGTATAGATTTTATATTTGTATATTATAGAAAATTAATTACAGCTAAGTACTTACTGTTACTTTACCTTTGTATATAAATACTTTACAGTGCATTAATGAAGAGTAATCTGGAAATTTTCAATTTCACTTTGTTTCAAAGAACACAATTGAAAACAAAACTTTAACAGATGTAAAAGGATATATATTATCAAAACACTCTGAGAATGTAATTCCATCCCACACCTGAAAACCGGAAAGAAAAAAATCAAAACCATTTTAGAATGTCATTCGTAATATCCAAACAAGAAAATAATCCTAAACTCCATTGTTTGCACTTCATTGTTCAGTAAGCTCTGTCACAGAATCACACCAAAAAATAGAATAAAATTATTATTTTTTAATATGATAATCTAAATTAAATTAATAAAAAAGACATTAAGTACAGTAAATTTCCTACGTAAAGGAACCACAATTTCATTTTCTTGCACTTTCTTACACTTCCTCAGCAGCCAGCCAGAAATATAACTAATTCCACTCAGAAACAGAGTCCAAAAAGCTCATTTTCTTACCATAAAAAAGAATAAAAGAGAAAATTCCTCGAAATTCAGTATTTATACAGTTGAAACATTTTTTACAGCATGATTATCTTTACTAATTCTGAAACGACCAAAACAAAATGAGTTTAAGAGAAATGACAGAGAAGGAAGCAAACAGAGAAGTATAAAACGATGAGTAAGAGGAAAAGGAAGAGAAACGCACAAATGGAGAATTAGGGCAAATATGATTCTTCCATTCCATTGCTTTGTGTTTGGTTTCGCGGAGGAAGAATGGAGTGAGCAAAAAAGAGAAAGAAATAACACACTTCCTCTGCAGTTTGGAAGTCCACGGACCGCACTACTCGGGCCAATACGTTAGTGCCTTTATAATTACAGCCACGTGGTTTGGCGGGTGTATGGTTATTATATGCGGTTTAGAATTGCAACGATGTTGACAATGTAGGATTTGGTTAATTAATTTATTAATAGCACTGTTCCAAAATATAAAAAGGTTTTTATACCGAATTAAAAAATAATCTATTAATTCTTCTATTCCAAAATATAAAAAAGGTTTTTTACGATATTAAAAAAATAACTTTTTTTTAACTATAATAAAATCAATAATAGTTAATCAAATTACCATTTATCTCGTATCATTATTCATATTTCATATCATTATATTGCATCCGATATGTATACGGTAAAAAAAATCATTTATCATTTTTTAAAATATTGAAAACAGTTTATATTTTAGAATAATGACATCAAAACGATTTATAATTCGTATTTAATTGAAAGTTTAAATTTATAGATTTTTTTAAGAATTTTTTAAATAAAATTAAGTGATTTAAATTCCATCTCAGTAGAAAATGATTGAGTTATAAAATCATTTTCATAGTATCAAATAGTGGACTCAATATTTTATATAGGCTTTTAACATAATCGTCACAACACGAAAGAGATGAATAAAAAAAAGTGTTTTGTGTGAGAATAAAATAAATTTTAAATCAAGAAAATAACTTATTAATAATTTTTCCATCAATCTTAGCCTATAAAATAAAAGTAAAATTATAATCACAGCATTGAATAGTACAGTCGATATCTTATAAACGTTTTTAATATAATCGTCATGAAAGAAATTAGTAAAAAAAAGTAAATATTGTCAGAACAAGAGAAATTTTAATTAAGAAAATAATTTATTAATAATTTACTTTTTCTATTATCTCCAGTCTAAATTAAACCAGAGCTTGGAGGTTGCTTGCCCTACGAGAGTGTTTTAAATTAAAATCTAACCAGTGGCTCGAGCTGGCGGAGACAGCGAATAACACATTTAACAGTCTTTTTTTATTAAAAAAATAAAAATAAAAAGTTTGTGGCAGCTTTTCTAGTGGAAATAAAGATGAATTATTCCCATCCTTGTTCGTGGTAAACGCCAAAGAAAAAGAAAGAATATGCGATCTAGAGGTTTGCGCATGCACGCGCACTTTTTTGCAAACTGCTGATCCTCTCGCTGCAGAAAGTGAAAAAGGAGAATTCATTTTGCTCTCCACATCACTAATCCGCTATACAATAGTATTTCATACGTCATATACTAATACTACACCTTACTTTGATTTTACTTTGTCTTTTATTATGCTTTTAATATTTGATAGATAAATGATTTAAATAACTTTTATTTGACTATTGAAACCTTGTTTTATTGTCAACCTATATATATACTTTTCACTAAATTGTGCATAACATATTTGATATTGATTCATATTTATGATTATAAATTTAATTAATTCTACTACTTCCGTCAGTGGATACTCCTCTATATAGGATCTTCTTAATATTTTTTTCTAATATAAACATAATATTTTTCCTTTTTTTATCTTTTATATACGACGAATAGTTATTGCTTCACTTTTTACAATAATTTATTGTAATTTAGATAAATAAAGAATTGTATAGTCAATTCACTTAACAATTTATCGTAATTTTAAACAAATTAAATGAATTTTTTAAAGAACATAAAAATTTAAATGTAATAAGTATTTGAGAATACAGGGAGCAGTAGTCATCAAAATTGCCTGGTTTTGAGTGCAGTTTTCACTTTTCAATATTTTAATAGATAATAATGATGATAAAAGTAATCAATTTCAAAAAAAAATAAATTAGTGGTTTGTTTAATTTTTTAAATTAAATCGATGACTCTTTCAAGTGCCATTTATATAATTTTTAACGATATTAATAAATTAGTTAGTTCATGAATTTTAACAATATTGGCATTATTTTTTGTATTAGCTATAAAATAAAATAAAATAATGAATTTTACTCATAGCCATTTATTTCACTTTTTTTCTCAATCTCTATAAATTTCACCATTTTTAATTCACATTCTTCAACACTTATCTACCTTTTGACTCTATAAATTTCACTTTTTTTTTTCTTCGATGCCTATGTTTTTTTTTTTTATTATTCAAGTTAAATGAAGAACTTCCCAAGAGGTAATTTATCATAAGATTTCTGTTAAACGAGCACACTTAATTTTGGAGTTTTTTCAGCTCTCAAAGTCATTCCATCTTCCTCTGATAATTATCGATTTATGATCCGATTTATTTTTTGTCCCACATTTCATTGCCCAAGATTACTATCCTAGAAGCTAATTAGGAGTTTTACTCTATCCGTCCTCTTTAAGATCGCTTTACCGGATCGAAATATTACAGTAAACATGCAAAAAAATATATTACTTATTGCAATCACAAATATATGATAAGTATTTTAGAACAGATTAATTATTATGAAACGAAGGAAATATACAATAAAATTTCCCCACTTTTTTATTTTATTATTGTTTTGTTTATAATAGTCCATGGATAAGGTTATGTTTGGCTCGTCTGATCCTACACTGCAACGCAAACCGTCTCTAACCAACCAAACTGCAATGGCCATGCCTTTCATGGCCTCCTCTTCTCTTCCCTCTCTTTCCTTCCCTCGCTCTTATTTTTCTCGTCTCTCCTTCCCTCGCTTTTCTATCTCCCCTTCTCTCCCTAAGCGTCTACGGACCACTAAAATCCAATGTGCCAACACCAACAACCAGCAACAGCAACCCACCCAGTCCCAAACGACATCCAGCTTCGACCCCAAAAGAGGAGTCGCTGTTTACAAGCCCAAGTCGTATGAAGTTCTTCTAACTGATGCTGCTGATTCTCTCGCATATGCTCTTCAAGACGGCAAAACACGCTTGGAAATTGATTTCCCGTAACTTTCATTTCCTTTGCTTTTCTTTTCTTTTCTTTTTCTTTTTCTTTTTTTTTTTTTTTTTTTGAATTTCGATGAACTGATTATTTCCCCTCTTTACTTTTTTTAGAATGCCCATCTCTGTATCTTAGCTTTTTCCAATTTGTTAATAGTAATTACCCGGTGTTTTATTTTGAGTCTAAACAAGAATGGCATTTTTTTTTTTTTTTTTTTTTTTTTGATTCGATGAACTGATTATTTCCCTCTTTTACTTTTTTTTAGAATGCCCATTCTGTATCTTAGCTTTTAATTTTGTTAATAGTAATACCCGTGTTTTATTTTGAGTCTACAAGAATGGCATTGCTGAAAGGTGTTTTTGTCACTTAATGTTGCAATTTTTTTGGCTTTGGGAATAAATTAAAATCGATGTATCATAGGAACAGAATTTGGTTTCTAATGATGCTTAAGTGACAAAGTGAGGAAAGAACTCAGTGTTTTTAGTTGTTTATAAAATAACAAGAACTTTCTTTACCTTTTGCTTCGTATTTTTTTATGTTACCTTGGTCCTTTCAAGTTCTTTTTTTTTCATTATTTAATCTTTTGGTATATCTACTTATTGTTTACGGGTTTGGAAGGTTTGGAATTTTTGGTCTGTTTATAATTGGACATCAAGAAAATAGTAGCTGATATCAGTAAAAGAAGAAGAAAGAAATGCTTCTCGTTATGGCACAGTCGAACAAGAATCTTGGGAAGGTTGCAGGGGATAAAAGAATCATACAAAACCAAAGTTATTGCGTAGTTTGAAATTCCAATTTAAGAAAAAACATGGTAGTTTAGAGTGATTTCCGATATTCATGTATGATTCACAAGTTATTAAATATATAAGTGGAATTAGGTTGGAGAATATTAACTGTAAGTGCATATATAATCAGAATCAGTCTATGTGTACCTCTGGTGAAGGAGGGGGAGTGGACTGGCTAAGTATCTTAGAAATCGCAAATGTGCTGCATTGCTTTTTAGTTTTTTTTTTTTTTTCCTTCATTTTTATAGATTGTAGTTTCCTTGTTACCCATACTTATTCTTTATACTTTTCCCCCTTTGGTTTGCGTTTCAGGCCCTTGCCCAGCAATATTTCTTCTTACAAGGTATTTCCTTTTGTTCTCAAGTTCAGATTGTGGTTTCAGCAGTTGTTTTCGTGAATGGGAATGTGCACATGGTTTTGAAAAATCTCATGGGTTGTTTAATTATACTTTATGTTATTTCCCTATCAAATATTTTTACTATGGTTTTGTTTGTCTTTGTATCTGAATCTGGTTTGTTGGGTCTCATAGCAAAGGAAAAAAAAAAAAAGAAGAATGAATAGATTTATAATTTCAAATTCTGACCATGTGAAGGGATCTTCAGATGAGTTTATTGATGCCAACATTCAACTTGCCTTGGCTATTATCAGGAAACTTCAAGAGAAAAGGGAAACCAGAGCTTGCATTGTAAGATATGACTTTCATATGTCTATTATGTTTACTTGTTCCACAATTAAAGTAGTTTACATGGTCCATTCCATTTCAGGTCTTTCCTGACAAGCCAGAAAAGCGCAGGGCTTCTCAGCTTTTCAAAGCAGCTCTGGACTCGGTAACATGCTAACCCAAGGTCATTTTTTATTTAATCTGAACCACTATGGACTGGGGACTGGCGTTGGCTTGATGGATGTTCTATTAAGTGGCAAAGGGCTTTTACTGTTTGGAGTATTTAGCTTCTCAAGATAACACTTCTTAAGCCAATGTTTGTCATTTTCATGTGGATTTCTCTGTTCATGGGTTTAGTACTACTATTTTTTAATTTTGAAGTTCATACTTCATGGGAACTTAAAATATTCTAAACTTTTTCCTTTGGTCAAAATCTGAATTTTCTTGGTTAAGATTTTGAAACCTTTATGGCAAAGTTAAAATTGAAGGAGAGAGAGAGAGAGAGAGAGAGAGAGAGAGAGAGAGAAACGAAAAGGTAATTTATATTGACTCTTACATAAACTTTACCTTTTTGTTTATGCTTTCAGATTGATGGAATAACCATAGGATCACTTGATGATGTCCCCAGTGGTCCTGTCACCACATTTTTCAAGTCTATAAGGAACACCTTAGATTTTGATTTTGAAGACAATAATGAAGGTAGTTCTATATGTCTGCTTCTATGTCTTGTTTCAATCTTATATATTCATTTAGTTATCAATATTAAATACATTTTTTTTCTTACTTTGTCTAAACCATAGCTTGAACTATCTGCATTGAGGCATTGACATGTGCTGACTTTGAGATGTGCTGGCGTTCCCAATTTTAATGTAGTTGTTTTTGTTTTATTTTATTCATTTTTCTCTCTAACTTCCTGGAAAAAAATGAAGAAAAGGAAAGCTTTGCTCTTAAACATTTTGTTTATCATTTGTTCCATATGCAGGCCGCTGGCAGTCCAATGAGCCACCATCCCTTTATGTATTTATTAATTGTAGCACAAAGGAACTTTCTGTTATAGAGAAGTATGTGGTAAGGTTTCTGTTGAAAGATTTTTAACAAATTTCACATCTATCGATTTGATTTCAGGCCCAGTTTAATCTTCTTTGATATTTTGTCTGAATTTTTCAATACACCTGCATTTCTTTTGAGTTAATTGCTTGATAAGCAGTTCAATTTTGGTTTCATATGATGGAATATGAGTTCAGTGAGTTTGGAGTGGTGTTTGAGCTTGTGGATGTAATGTACTGAAGGTGATGAAATTTAATCTTATGAATTGATATTATAAGAGATGTTTGTGAACTTGCATGCATACGCTATATCTTGTTTTCTACTTATACATTCTCAAACTCAAAGTTCCAGAAACTACTCGTTTGATTCTTTAATTTCTTTTTTGAAACACTAATCTTACTCTTGCTTTAACTGAGTACTATCTTTATCTTCATTGATTGCTTTAGAGAATAACTAAACCTGTAAAAAACTCTTTTTCCACAGTATCTCCTGAAACTTGGTCCATATCCATATCTGAATTGATGAATTCACAGAAAAACTAATGTAGTATGAATGCTTGGAAATTTATTTCTGGGGATCATATTGTTCATGACTCCATGTTTGCCTGGATGTGGCCATTGTGCCATTATGTGCTAGAGGTTCGAGAACAAGGTGTTGTTTTTGGCTTCTTTGTGGGTTTATTCTTCTGGAGCTTTTAGAAGGATCTCTGAGTGTTATCCAATTTGATTGCAGTACATTTTCAACTTTTGTTTTTTGCTCTTTCAGAGTTGTCTGTTTGTTATTATACTAGGTTTCTTTCTTATACATAGTTCACAATCCACAAGTTACAAAATTGATATTTCACCTAATTTGACTCATTGGAATGTGCAGGAAAATTTTACCATGTCAACCCCAACCCTTCTGTTCAATCTTGAACTTGACACATTGCGGTATAATTTTTGCCTGGATTAAGTTTGTGTCATGCCTAATTTATTATCTATGATGTTAGTCTTCAAGGTCAAATAAAGTCTGCTTCCCATTTCAGTGCTGACTTGGGTCTTCTGGGATTTCCTACCAAAGACTTGCATTATCGATTTCTATCTCAGTTCATTCCAGTATTTTATATTCGAATCAGAGAATACTCTAAGGTTTCTCTTTTATCCTTGATTTTTTATCTCCTCTGTGTCAATTGCTTTTTAAATGGAGGACTTTAACAATGTTACATTTGCTCTTAATATTGTAAGACAGTAGCAGTAGCACCTTATATTGTCAATTACAGCGGAGCATTGTTTCGCCAATACCCTGGTATGAAATTCTTTGTTTTTTTTTTTTTTTTTTTAAGTTTGCCTTGGATGTGGCCATTGCTTGCCATTATGCTGCTAGAGGTTCCGAGAACAAGGATGTTGTTTTTGGCTTTCTTTGTGGGTTATTCCTTCTGGAGCTTTTTAGAAGGATCTCTGAGTGTTAATCCAATTTTGACGTTGACCAGATACATTTTTCGGAAACTTTTTCTCCGTTTGCTCTTTCAGAGTTGTCTGTTTGTTATGAGTATACTAGGTTTCCCCTTTCTCCTCTATATACTTTAGTCACAATCCACAAGTTACAATTGATATTTCACCTAATTTGACTTCTATTGGAATGTGCAGTCGAAAATGTTTTTATCCAGTGTCAACCCCAACCCTTCGTTCAATTTCTCTGACACTTAGAACTATCTGCTCCGGCTAGCTGTGTGATCGTAGGTTATCATAAATTTTCGCTCACTGGATTGGAGCTTTTGTGTCTAATGAGCCCTTAATCTTATTATTCGGTACTTGATGTTAGTCTTCAAAGGTCAAATAAAGTCTTGCTTTCCCATTCTAGTCAGTGCTGACTTTGGTCTCTGGGAATCTTCCTACCAAAGGCTTGCATTATATCCGATTCTTTCAGGTACTTCAGTTCATTCCATTTTTTATTTCGAATCCAGAGAATACTCTTAAGGTTTTCTCTTTTATCCTTGACCTTTTACTTCCTCTGTGGTCAATTGCTTTTTAAATGTATGACTTTTAACATGTTTACATTTGCTCGTGATAATATTGTAAAGACGGAGTAGCAGTAGCACCTTTTATTGTCAATTTACAGCGGAGCATTGTTTCGACCATACCTTGGTATGATATCCTTTGTGTTTTTATTTCTTTTTTTTAAAGTTCTGAATCCAGTCCTAGTGTTCAATTGAATAAACTGGTATTTCTAGTGTTCCTTGGGTTTGCGAATTTGCTATTGTATAGGCTTTAATTGATTTGCATACATGTTATCCAGATTTTGCTGTAGTACATGCGTTGAATATAACTGAGAGTTTTTTTTTTTTTTTTTTTTTTAAAGTTCTATCAGCTAGTTTAATTGAATAAACTGTTATTTCTATCTTCTGGGTTTGGAATTTGCTTGTAGGCATTAATTGAGTGATAACATACAGTTTTATACATGGTTGAATATAACTGAGAGAATGTTAGAGTGCTGCTACAACTGTAACTAAATCAATATACCAGGCGCTGACCTCTGACGTTAATTAGAATAAGGCGTTGGATCACTGTTGGAAAAACTGCTTTGTGTGCACTTTTGTTCAGTTAAATGAATATCCATAATGTTTAGACATGTGCAATAAGTTGATGAATACTTACCTGGATGAATGGCAGGCACATAAATTGTTGCTTTAGAAGCATCTATGTTGCATATGTTTCACACTTGTGCATGAAATCCATTTTTCTTTCGTTTTTGCTAACTATTTGAAAGTGCAAACATATTGTGTACTGTGAACTTTTTACAACAATGATTTGAAATCTTATTCCATGCCTCTAATCCAACTTATAAAATGTACAGGTCCTTGGCAGGTGATGCTTAAACAAGCAGATGGTTCTTATGCTTGTGTTGCAGAAAGTGCAACACGCTTCACACTTGGCGAGGTATAAGTTTGTTTTACCCAACAAGTTCTATTCACTTCCTTCTGACTACAATTAACTGGATGTTCTTTGTATTTTCCAGACCAAAGAAGAATTATTGAGGGTCCTTGGACTGCAGGAGGAACAAGGAAGTTCGCTAGAATTTCTTCGCAGGGGCTACAAGGTAATCCTGGCTATCTGATTAGTTTCTTCTTAGATTATATTTTTATGTTATGTACATCTACAAGTGATTTTCTATCCTTCCTTTTCTTCTCTTGCCTTCATCAAACATCTGGTTTCTATTGTGCCACAGACCCATATACATGTTATCATTTCCGTTTTTTTCTGAGAATTTCAAAATGCATGTGATGGTTAAAATAGACATGCAAATGATGCATTTGAAAACTAAACTATTCTTTTACGTATGATCCAGTCTAGGGTCACAAGTTAAAAGCCTTATCCTTTCTGTTGTCCATGAGCATGTATATGTATATAATAAATACACTTATGTGCATCTGTTCGTGTATACACATATATAATGAACAAGAGACTTCGAAACTCCATTATATCAATTGCATGGTTGATATTGCAGTCTGCAACTTGGTGGGAAGAAGATGTTGAATTGGAAGCATTTTCTGATTGGCGTAGTTGAGCATCATCAGAAGCAACCGGAGACGCCCCAGTGGAACTTAGTAAAAGAGAAATGGTGAAGTTTTAGAAAAAACGAAGCATGAAGAACTGTAAATGTATTTGTTCTTTCATTTTTCTTGTGTTTCCCAACATAGAAATAGATTGCAACAAAGTGTCATTTTTTTTTTTTAATGATCCGTTTTGAACTATTTTGTATTTCATACATGACATAAAGATGTAGAGGAAGTATAGTTTTACACTGCTGCAGAAGCCACAATAAAGGCAAATTTTGCGTCAATTTAAACCTGACATGAGTCACTCTACTTTGTCTGTGCACGTGCTTAATTTTATGTATTTTCTTAATCCTTCACTTAATTTGAACGCCTCAGACTTTTCTGATGAACAAAGCTCAGGAGTGACAATCAGTGGTTTGTGCTTGAAATTCATTAATCTTTGCAAATTAAACATTCTCTACATTATCACACAGGCATATATTCTTTGTCACCTTTTATGATATCCAATGGGTTAAATAGAAATTGAGAATATACAATTTTTTACACGTGACAACATATAGTGCATATACAGCTTTAGTATGCAAGCAAAATCATCTAGTTAGTTTCATTCATAATAATACACTCTACTTACTCTGCACTAAAGTCGGGTTCTCTGGGCTTCTGCAGTTGCAGCAAGCCAGTATCAGTATTGCTGCTGCGAAGCCTATGTGCACGAAGAGCATTGGCTGCAAATCGAGACGCAAGGATTGTTGCGCCTAGCCTGGAAAAACTATCAGATCGATATTCATCTTCGTATTCTGCTTCTTCTAGCATACGAAGCTCTGCAGCTTTCCTCCTGGCATACCGTCTCCAAGAAGCTTGGATTAAGCGAGCAGCCCAAGTCCTCCATTGCTGTGAGTAGAAACGGAAAGTATGCTGCACCTGCCTGCTATGAAGACGCCTAAACTGACTTGCAACGAACTTCAGCTCTTCAGCTTCTAAAGCAAATGCTTCTACCTCGGTTAAGGCTCTAACTGTCCTAGTAGATGATGGTAAGCTAGCCCCAGCTTTAGGGTCTAATGCCCAAGTTAAAAGCTCTTCACCACAAAAGTCTCCTTCTTTCAAGTACCCTCTGTTGAAAAATCCACTCCTTCCTCCATCTGTAGTTACACTTTCTAGCCGGCCCCGAATTATGAACAGCATCTCATCGACAGGATCCCCTTCGCGGACTATGTAAGTATGCTCGGTGTATAAACTTGGCTTTAATCGTTCACAGATAGCATCTAACAACCTTTCATCCATATTGGCAAACAGAGGCACCTGCATAATCACAATATCTCAAAAATGACAATTACGGAAAGAAAATGATTCCCCAGAATAACAAAACTTGATACTTACCCTTCTGACCAAATTCAAACAAAGATGCCTCTTTATATCTCTCCTGAGATCTTTTGGTAGACTCTGCACTATACTCTCTTCGTCCACTCCCCGAGTTTCTAACCATTTGTATTGATCATAGCGTCTAACTCGCTCCCTAAGATCCTGTGGAAGTAAGCGATGGTGCATCCATTGCTCCGAATCACGCCTTTTAATCCTCATTTCCTCTAGACGAATTGTTATAGACTGAAGGTAGGTCTGTTGCAACCAAGACACATCAAATTGCCTTATCAGTATTCATTCTTAATGCCTCCACTGCATCTGTTTTCTAACTTAATTTTTCTTCCTTAAAATAAGAAACTAAAATGAAATAAAAATCCAACTTGCCATTTAACTGACCTGCATATTTCCAATCAGAAGTGCAAAGAGAATAAGTCCTGAAATAGCTATGGCAATGGAAAATAGAACCTCATAAGGGTAAGTGCTGGTTGCAAGACCCTGACCAAGTGTACTGTAGACAATGAAAAATCTTTTAAGCTTCTATACTAGATGAAACTTTAACAGATCAAGTTTTAGTCAAGTCAAATTCTGATGATGATACTACAAAAAAGGATTCATATATATAGACAGATACCTCAAGTTTTGCAAGCCCCACCATAAGCAGTAAAAGAATTTAGACATGAATACCCTGGATCCAACAATATCTGATTGCATAGCCTGTGTATAGATTCCATAATTAAATATCGAGTTACCATCTTCATCAACACTGCAGTTGCTACTAAGAACCTTTTCGCTGACCCTCCGCCATTCGTGGAAACCTGGCAAGACTTTATTGCCACAGTACAGGAAACTTATATCACATTTCCCGCTTAGAAGGCAAGCGTTCTGCCAGCAGGCGTCTTTGCGTTCAACTGCCAGTAAGTACCAGAAAGCCCCAGCAATCTGTAAAATTAGAATACGTTTAGAAAGATTACTAAGCATTGCTATGTTAATCAAACTTCTATCCCGGGACCGAGCAATGTTCCTGTTCGATCATTCAAGCTTGAAAGGCTTGTTTACTCAGCATATATACTTACATGACTAGCAAGCATGTACCACAGCAAATAGTATGCAGCACCAGCCCAAGCACTTTCGGCGAAAGCACCCGCAGTCTTTTTCAGGTCTGAAGTTAAAGGAACAAACCGGACGAATCTCGGGATGTATTGCATAAAGACAAGTACTAACAATGCTTGTTTAGTAGCCAACACCTCTGAACCTTTTTTCTTATTAGTAAGATATTTCCACACCACCACCTGCACAAGCATATACATGTTCGTACTTAAATTGCATTTGATTAAATTAAGCAAACCCAGAAAATAACTGGCAGAAATCAGCCAAACCTGTGGTAAAGGTAGAACGGAAAGAAAATCGACAATGAAGTAACGACCTAAATATCGGGCAGCGATCTGTGCAGGATCTATAACAAGTTCACCTCGTCCGAACACTCGTGATGATGGTGCAACATAGGCTGTCCGGAATTGGAGAGCCATTCGAAGCAGAAAGAAAGCATCAAGTATAGTCCGTGCAGCTGTTATTGTTGCTGCTAAATTTGTATCCATACCAAGACACACCATTTTATAATTAAACACAGGCAAATAGAAAAACAAAGGATCAACAGATACTGCAAGAATGCAGGAAATGACAAAAAGCCTATTCCATAACAGCAGAGATTTATCCTGAGGATCAAAAATCTTTTTCTCTGATACTTTAAGATCCTCAGGAAATACTGCTCGAGATACTTCAGTTCGTAGCGTTCGACCAAGTGTTATGAGTCCTTCTGATCCCTTTTTCATTCCAATTTTCAAAGATTTTGATGAATTCTTCCTTACTTTTCCTTTAGGAAAAATTCCATTTAAATTAAACATGACTTTCTTCATTTTGCTACTTGTTTTAGTATTCAAAGATAATGTAGAGTCCAAATCGTCCAATCTGCAGATTCAAGAACAAGCCAGAATGAGGTGTAATTATACTTTTAAAATCAAACAGCTCCATAATTAAGTACATATTAGAGAAAATTAAACTGTACACCTTACAAATTTCTCTTTCTCGCCACCAATGTATTGTGACTTGTAACCACAATCAAACATTTTGCAGAACAAGTTACATAGAAAACTTCATGGGAAAAAATTTCCCAAGCAGCATCTGGTATAATGTTAATTAACACAAACTTCTGCACAACCAAAAGAGAAATCATTGTCCATGTAAAATTCTAACATTTTATCTTATTACCATTAAATCAAAATAATGATCACATAATTTTAATTAACACAATCACCAAACACTATCCATTACAATTACCATTACCCATGAAATTAATAATCCCAGAAATATTACAATTACCATTAGAATTATATAAACTCTCATAAACAATTCAAACTTATTACATTACCCTCAGTATTTCACAATTATGGCATTCTGATCTTATATAAGCAAACACATGTAGCCCATTCCTCTATTTCTTTCTTTTTCCAAGAAATAAAATTCCAGCCACATTTGTATTACACGGAAATTTAAAAAAGGTGATCCAATGCAGTTATGTGTACATATATATATATGTATATGAATGTATGTATGTACAGTTACATTGATAAGAAAAAATAGATGTATAGAAGATAAGAATTGAGAAGAATTATCCATCATAGAGAAAAACAAAAAATTATTGAAATCAAATAATTGATTGAAAATCCATAAAAGATATTGAAAGTCAGCCATATTTCATCAAATGGGAATTAACTTAAGCCAAATTAATAATTAACTTACAATGATAAATATTTTAGTTTCAATCCCAGAGCTGGAATTGAGGAAAACTATCTGATTCTGAAGAGGAGAAAGATAATTATTTTGTAATTTCTCTTCTCTGCAAGAGAGGCGAGAAGAGAAAGAGAATGAGAGAAAAGAGAGACAAAGAGGTCCTGTTGGCGGAAGGTGAGAAAGCTAAACCGTTATAACGGTCACATACACACACATATATTTTTTTGTTATTAATAATTGCCATTATTTTTGCATTTTTTATTCTAATTGAATTTCATTGGTTCTTAAATAATAATTTTTTAAATTTCGTATCGTATATTTATCTATACAAATCTATATAAAAACAGAAGTAAATTCACTTACATGTCACTGTATCAAAATATAAAAATGCTAAGGTGGCAAAATAAATAATGTTTAAGGTGTGGTGTTGACAAGGGAAGTGATTTTATGTTATTTTACAAATTTATTTTTTAATTTAAAAATTACTTGAGTTATAACATTTCTTCAGTTTTTTTTTCAATAATTAATATTATTTCAAATAATAAAATTTTTTAGTTTCTTTTTTTAATGATTAACAAAATTAACAGAGAAAACGGTTTCTCTATTATATTTTGATTTATTTTATTTTTAATTTAAGAGATTAAAAGTGAGCTAAAATGGCTTAGTCATCAAAGAAAAAAAAATTATATGATGCTTACAACCTTTCTAGTCTTTTTCTTTCCAATGCAAAAAAGGAGACCTCATAGAGACAAATTGTTTAAAAAAAAATCCCAAAAGTTGAAATGGCTCTTAAAGCTTCAACTTTTGTTAGATTCCAATTTTATAAATGAGTAATGATATTGTTTATATTCTCTTAAAGCAACAAATTTATGAATTTTCTTTGTTTATATTCTCCTGACTTAGTGTTTTTTTTTTTAATTATTTTAATATAAAATTATTATTAAATTATATATACATTTACCACTAGACTGTATCTTAGTGTGCTCACTATGAATCGAATCAGTTCAATTTGGATTTTGTCAATTCATTAAGTTGGGAAAATTTTAACTATTTTGAGCGAGAAATAAAATTATAATACATACCCATTTTGATTTGTCCTTTAATGGACTTTATAATAATTCAAAATTATGTTGAATTTATAAATTTTATTTTTAATTATATTATGACAAATTGTTTTAAAAAAAAAAATCCCAAAAGTTGAAATGGCTTCTTAAAGCTTCAACTTTTTGTTAGATTTCCAATTTTATTAACATGAGTAATGATATTGTTTATATCTCTTTAAAGCAAACCAAATTTTTATTGGAATTTTCTTTGTTATATTTCCCTGACTTTTTTAGTCTGTATTTTTTTTTTTAATATTTAAATAAAATTATTATTTAAAATTATAATACAACCACTAGACTGTATCTTAGCTGTGCTCACTATGAATCGAATCAGTTCAATTCTGGATTTTTTGTCAATTCATTTTAAGTTGGGAAAATTTTAACTATTTTTTTTGTAGCGAGAAAATAAAAATTATAATATCATACCCATTTTTGATTGATTCCTTAATGGACTTTTAAATACATTTCAAAATTATGCTTGAATTTATAAATTTATTTTTAATTTTTATATTATTTATAATATAATACTGTATATCCATATATATCATTATATTATTATAATAATAATACTTTTATATCATATATTATCTGCCAAAAAAAAAAAAAAGTTCTACTAATTACATTAATCAATAGATTGTTCACTTTAAATAATGCAACATTTATTAATTATATTAGGACACCAATTTCGATAAGTTTATTTAAAAAATTCAATCAATTTTTAAATTTTAAAAATCTTTAGTTATAGATCATAGTTTTATTATCCTTGGATTATTTTTTTTTTTCTTTAGGGTTACCACAATCATTGGTCCTTTTTTTATGATTGAAGGGCCCTATAAAATTATCAAAGCACATGCATAAAAATACAAATGCATAATAAAGCCAGAAGTTTCAAACAAGGAAAAATACAAAGGCATCAATAAGGATTTAAGGAACCAAAATAAATAAAAAAAGAAAAAGAAAAAGAGTATCCAATGCTTCAATATGAAATCTCAACTTCTTGTTGGTAGATAGACCCCACAGTCCACTTACCTTCCATCTTCTTTTCCTCACTACACACAAAAAGCTAGCAAAAGACTCTATTATCACAATAGAAATATTGCACCCATAACCTAAAATCTTTCTCCTTTTGAAATAATTAATAATAATCAATTATCAGAAAAGCAGCATAACAAGCCAAACAAGAAAATATAGTTACCCATGTAAAGCAATAATGAAGGTTTGACATTAGAGATGGCAAATTCTATTTTTAATAGGAAGTATGTCTTCTATTTCAAAATATAGTAAAATAGATATGGGTTTTAAGTTATGTTCATAAATATTTTATATTATCATTAATTATGAATTATATAAAATGAATTTTTTATTTTCAAAAACATACAAACTATAATATTATTATTTTTGAAATATATATTACTTGAAGCCAAATGATGTATAAAATAGGTATACAAGATGAAAATTTTCACTTAGTTGTATGCATTTGATAAAAAAAAAAAATGAAGAAATTAAAAGGTTTTAAAAGCACTAATGTTAAGTTTAAGAGGCTAAAATGTTCTTAGAGTTGAATAACTAATCTAAGTTTGTTACATAAAGATTATTATTACAACTTTCTACCTTTATTCTTACCAAACATGCTAAAAAATAAAATAAATATATAAATAAACATGAGAAAAATTAACAAAATAACAAAAACATACCTACCTACCTACCTAGGTACATGGGTAATAAAAGAATGAAAGTGGAATTATGGTCCTAGATGTAAGGACAAAGAATACTGGTAATATGTACATAATGCCACAACCCATTATTTGTCTAAATTCCTTAAACCGAAAAGAGCATTGAGAAAGATGGTTTTGCTCCAAACATGGTATGGGTTCTTTTATATGACTTGTCACATTATTAAATATATAAAGATGAAAAGCTTAAACTTACAAAATTAATGGTGAATGTGATCATGCACAATCACATATTTTGTATTGGGGGCTAAATGTATATATAAATAATATAAATATTTTTTTCTTTTATTTATTATTTTTAGTATTAGGGTTTATCCATGCCATACCAATTGATTTTGGTCCCTATTTTTAATTAGTCTCACTTTAACACTAGACTAATAGACAAGTTTACTTTTTCTTTTATTAAAATTTCTGGAGGGAGTACCTACGGGTTATGGTTGAGTCTTTCGGGTCTATACCCATAGCCGTTGCCCTTCTTTTAGTATGTGTAAGAGTCTCATGCTGAATTTCTTTCTATGCTAGAGATTCAGATAGTGTTCCATGTACTAAGGTTAATTAAGGTAGAAGATCTCAAATCAAGCATTGCATTCCAACTCCCATGCTTTTTGCGATCTTGTGCTATACTCCGGTGATCTCTTTCCTGCCGAGGCACGTAAACTCCCATCGTGTCCTAGATCACATTCCTTGTATCAAAGTTCTGAAGGGGCTACGCAGAGAGCGAAATGGGTACAAGTAACGGGATGAAGATGTTTAACCAATCTCAGGCTAGACATATGGGAAGAGCTTTTGAATTCGATCTCCACTAAATACACCTGAAGGGAGTGGTGAAGAGTCTTAACTGTGATTAAACCCCGAGCCAGATTATACGATCTCTGATAATTGAGTTCGAATACTGATGGTTTACATTAAAAAAAAATTAGGAGGGAAAAGTTTATTTCTTTTGTTTATTAACAAAAACCATCTGCTTTCCTTAATATTAATGAAAATTATATTAAAGATAAATTAATTTCATTATACCTATAAAGTAATTCGAAATTTCAATTATATCAAGTCTATAATCTTGTAATTATTCTAGTATGGTATTGATTGTCTTGCACATTTCATATTAAATTCTTGGTGAATTTTTTCATTTTTTTTATAAAATTTTTTCCCCTAGAAGTGAAGCGATTGTGGAAGTTGAAATAGTGCAAGCATTGAAGCCTCTTCACCAACCGGTCGGGAAGAATATTGAACTAATTTAGGGCAATTCATATGGGAAACAGAAAGACAAGGATAGGAATTAGGAAGTGAAGGAGACATTTCATCACCTAACAAATGCAACGTATATAAGTTGGGTGCAGGCAAAGCATAATTAGACTTAGATTAAGAGCTTGATCGTTAAAATTAGTTGTTTTGGTAGTTATTAGCTGTTTTAAATATCTTTTCAAAAAACACTAAAAATTAAACGTTATATAAATTGACTTTTTATAAAACGTTGTCTTACTTCTAAAAATTAATTCAAACAGTATAATAACAAATATTATAAAAATAGCGTTTAACGTTTTAATCTGTTAAATAGCTAAAAGGTACCTATAAACGAAGACAACCTAATTGTGTTGGGACTTTGAATTTGGATGGAAGATATAATTCAAAACATATATGTGTCTGTTGATAAGTGGCTTTTACTTGGCATTTTTGATTGGGTGGAGATTTTTGGACGTCAGTAGTTTATTCTTCTACTCCATGTTTATTACTATATATATATTAATTGATAACAAGGAAAATTTTAGTATTCTAGCGTTAGATTTTGATTGTAGACTTAAATTAAATAAATAATTAATTTTGTACTCATAAACTTGGTCCAATTGATAAATATATACTCGATTTGAAACAAATAATTAATTTGAACCCATCTTTTCCCACTAACTAAAAAAAAAAAAAAAAAAAAAAAAAAAAAATTGATAAATATATACTTCGATTTGAAACAAATAATTTAAATTTGAACCCATCTTTTTCCCAGCTAACTAAAAAAAAAAAAAAAAACAAAAAAAAAAAAAAAAAAAAAAAAAAAAAAACAAATATGATAGATTTTAAAAAAAAAAAAAAAAAAAAAAAAAAAACAATATGATAGATTTTTAATGATGAGTTGAAGTTACAGTAAAAGGGTTGCTGAATGGTAGTCATAATTGAAATCTAAGCATTTGCTATCTCTCTCTCTCTCTTTTTTTTTTATTTATTTTTTATTAAACAACCAATATTTAGATTCCACTAATTCGATTTGGGATTTACTTACAGTTAAGATTCTTTAACTCTCTTTGCAAGTGTGTTTAGTAGGGATCAAATTCGAGAGATCTTCTCACTGCGTTATAT